TCTAAAGAGAAGGGCAGCTGGCGGAAAAGTGTTCTGACTCGTTGGAGGCCGAACAACGGCAAGGCGAACAGCAAGGAAAACATCAAAACCGACACCAGCCCCAACCAAGAGGAGTTTTTGCCGTTTGGAACAACCAAGCTAGGGGGTAAGGTAAGTCTTTTGAGTTGCCGCTCTATACTTTATCACATTCACGTTACGAATAGACTCATCTGTCTGCTCAGATCGTCGACCATGACCGTGTGGCCCTGCTCACGATGAACCAAGTCTACCACACTTTCAACACGCCTGACACCCTGCCGGCTAACTTGCGTCTCGCACTCTCGCAGCAACTATACCACATGATTCTTACAACGCCAGACTTTCCCACCCTTCCGTTTGCTTATAAAAGGGCTGCACTGATGCTTCTATCGTCCGAGATGCTCGAAGCTCTCTACCTCGCACGCCCCGAGTATAAGATATTCGCGCTCACGATGCCTGACGCCGTGATCGCAGTCTACCGCCAGATGGCCGTGGACCAACCCGAGACCGTCCAGGACTTTGTACTCAGTTGTAATGACGTCCATCTAAATGCCCTTAAGGTGTATGCTGGGATGGCGAGCCCGACGGAGATTTGTGCCGCCCGCGATGCGGCGCTGAAGCTGTCAGACACGCACCTTATGATATACATGGGGATTAACACGATTCTCGCGGCAGCTCGTGGCAGCCTCGGTAGTATGCGACAGTTGGCGGCACCCTTTGGCTGGACTCCTCTGCATTCCGCGGTGCTGACGGATTGCGTTGAGACAGTCAAATTTGTACTCGGAAAGGGTGGCGATGTCAATGCACCTCTTGCGATTGCCGCGAGATACACTCTAACGCCTCTGCACCTTGCAGTTGTGCTCGGACGCGTCAAGTTCGTCGAAGTACTGCTCAAGGTGCAGGGCGTGGACGTGCGGACCCGAGACTACGGGAGGTTCGGCGTGACGCCGTCGCACACCTGCGCAGACTTCAAGTCGGCGAAGCAGCTCGAGATCTTGTCAATCCTCCTAGCGCACGACAGCACGCTGGTTCGGGCGCGCGACGAGGACAATCGTACGCCGCTGCACCATGCCGCGTTATGGGAGAACCTGCCTGCGGTTAAGCTCCTGATCCAGCACGGCGCAGAAATTGACGCACTCGATGTTCGTGGATCAACGCCATTACATCTCGCATATATGGCGGCCAACGGGTGGCAGAGTAGTGACATGATTCAACCGCCCGATGAAAGAGAAGGCGTGATCCGGATCATGCATCCGCTTACCTTGCCGCCAGGAACGATAGAGAAGGGGGGTAAGTTTGCAGCAGCATTTGAGACGGGTTTTGCGAAGGCGATTGTTCCACCTCCATCTCCTTCTTCTTCTTCTTCTTCTTCTTCTTCCCCTCCAGCCCGTCCACCAGGGTCGATGATCGATATATTGCGACTCCTTTTCCCAGTGTACAAGCGCATTGTCTCAGACGAGACGCCGCCCGGGCATGATGCCTTCCTGTTATTCCGGCGTACCAAAGATCCAGTTGTTTACGATGCTGTACTTGCCTTCTACGACGATGCTGCGCGCTCGCGGCGCGACAACGACGCCGCAGGAGGCCCGCGCGCTCTCGACCTCGAGCTTGCCCATTTGCCAGGCTGTCTCAGCGTCCGGCCCGATGTAGGCGAGATAGAGATGAACATAAGCAAGTTTGTGGATGTGCAGCGACGCTCTGCGTACTTTTCGAGTCATTACAAGGAGAAGCAGTTCATGGTGGGCGAGACATATATTCGCTCCGCGGACGGCAGGCAGATGTTGAGGCTTCTGTTACGGAAAGGGGCGGATCCAGCCAGACTGAATGCATTGGGCGAGGCGCCAGAAGCATGGGCGTACTGTAAACAAGACCTATCATACTCGCTCCGAGTACCACTGGACGATTCACTCATCAGCTACGAGCCAAAGCGGTGCTTCATTATCAGTGAATGGTGCGTATAAGCTCTGTTGACTGCGGTTTACCAGGGTGGTTTAGGGACGAAGTCGTAAAGATTTGCTGACCACTGTTTCTTCTTATAGCCCCATGATTCACACTCCTGCTCCTATTCTCTTATTTGATATTGAGGCATATTCACAGGGGGGCCTCTTTGTTGCGCCGTTCAAGGGGGACTGGACAATATGGACGTGGCTACAAGATGTGCTGCCCTGCCCGTCAGACTTGATTCTCTTGGTTGTCGCGCAGCGTTTCTCTACCATGGCCGCCGCAGTGGATGTCGGGTCCCAGAAAGTCATCGTCGAGGTGCAGATGCACCCTCCAAATGTAAGGAAATCATATGTGCCCCCTACCCTCCGGGTGTGAGATTCCTTCCTCTTTAGATCTTGAGAAAACTGACATGTATGATCTGCAACGCAGGATCTTCACAACTCGACAAAAACCCTACTCCGCCAAGAGTGGCTACTCATTGAGCTGCTCCCCCGACCTAACGAGCCGTTTGTTCTACGCCTTGGTGACATCCCACTGAAGCACAAGGCGACTCTTCTAGTCAACTTGCGCTCGTCGAACCCGCCGGGTTCGGTGGTCGCTCCTTTTGTAAGTCGTTTGCCTCTTTTGGTCCATTTCGGACAATCTATCCCACGCTTCCTAACAAGAGGCCGCGTTTCTACCTACAGGCGATAACTTCAATCACTCTTCGCGCACGGCAATTTTCCGCATTGGATGAACCGCTCAGCTCGACGCCAAAAAGAAGTAGCTCAATACCGTCCTCCTCCGCAGCTGCTTCTCTGATCCACCCGCTGTTAAGAGCACCAGTCGAAACAGTGGCCCTCCCCCGATTTCGTCATGGGGCGCACTGGCATGCCTGTCCAGCCCAACCTTCGAAACCGAACAAGTTTATACCGTTATCAATCCATCGCTCCCGCCAAAACGCCATTATCAAAGAGGAAACAGCAGAACTGACCTTGAAATCGCCCAACCCTCTCCTGTACACACGACCCGTTGTGTCCACTTCCGAGAGTGACGAAAAGACCTATGGTCCAAAGACGTGGCATTATCCGCTCACCGCGGGCAACGTGAGCTACGAGGAGATGCGGATGTTCAGTGATGGCATCGAAGGGGTGCGAGCAGAGACAAATCAGGTCATCGACCAGGCGGCCAACATCTTTGGTGGGGATTCGGAGCAGTTCAGACAGATAAAAGGGAGAATGGAGGGAGCTTTTGCCCAACTCCTGATAGCTTTGCAGGAGTTCGATGATGACAAGACAAGCGCATTGTTTGGAGTGAGCCGATCGGCTTGATGCGCATGGTTGGAATTCCTACCAAAGTGTTATCTATAAGCGGATATACGAGTGCATATGCAGCAGTTATTTCCATCCGTGTGCAAAACTCACTGGTACATGAATGGCGGGTTCCTCTTCCGAAAATGACAACCTTGTCGTCTTGTGACCCATATTTATCGAGGCAGGCTTATAGACGCCGCCAAGCACGATTATTAGTAGAACCACCATCTTGGACGACTGGTAAGAATTTAGATTTACTAATTGTTGATCAAGGTGGTGCTTGCCTATTGGAGTTTAAACTGGTCTGATATGGGTGTCAATTGTGTGATGTGTTGATCTATGTTCTGCGCCTCCAGTTTTGACGAGGTACATCTATCTGAACACCATGGTGTTGATCCGTGTGCTCAAGCACACCCCAGTGTATGGGAACCATAATCCACCATCTGACAATTATATATATGCACTATAATAGTTTAGCAGGGCGCAGAACGAAACGCCGCAGGACCCGAGAAGCTGGGTCGGATTAGATAAAAAAGCGAGGGTGAGAGATCAAAGTCAGCTTTTAGCACCATGCGCCGGCCCGTGAGATTCTTAAAAGCTACTAGAAGCGAGACCGAGGCCGCGAAAGAACGTGGCTTGGGGGGGGGGGGAAGACCTCCAACGCCAAGTATACCCTTCCTTGTTGGGATATATGTAAGCATGCGTCCGACGGCTATCATGTGATTTCTTGCCTTCTTGTCGTTTTCAGGTGTAGCAAATGCAATCTATGAAACCTAGATTTGGGGGGGAAGTGTTTGTATTCCGTTCGCATTGTGCCACCCTCTCTCCGAAAATGGATGAATAATGTGCGCCATTCCCGAACACGAGACACCCTGCGACTCCCAAAACGGCCAAGCTATCTTTTTGTTTTTGTATCACCTCATCTTGTACCACCTTTGAGGCGGGTGCCGACTCTGACCACCATCTTTTGTAATCACCTATTCGCTCTTTTTGGAATTGATCTATCGAAAAAAAAAATAAGTGCGGTCTCCTATCTCCGTCTGAGGATTGACTCGGCATGTGCTACACAACAGCTGTGCTTGACCGGCCGGCCCCGCGAGAAGCAGGATTCCCAATATGGAATTCTCTAGCTTCACCTTTTGTCCGAAAACGTCCGTAAGGCTTATTGTGCCGGTGGCACTTGGCGCATCTCGGCTGGTTGATGCTGATCTCGGGCTAGGACACGAGTACAGCCCAATAGCTGTGTACGGATATGGTCTCGAGCGAACCTCGTGGCTGGCAGATTAGATTATACATTGTTTTCGTGGCATGGTCTTGTTGACGATTTGTGGTGAAAAAATTGACCGGAAAAGATCATCGTCACGTAATAAATGACATGGGCACCAATCATGAAAGAAAATCAAACAGTGTGGTATATTCGTGTGGGTTAAGACTATTAGGAGATGTGTAGATGCAGTGTGTCCGTCCGTTTGGTGAATGTTGCCATTCTGCCCATTCTTCCATTCTGTTACTCTAAATCCAAAAACCTGCGACCATGGTATCCTTATGCCTGTATAAACCAGACCAATGCAAATGCAAATGCAGTATGATATAAAACTTGCCAGCAAGGAAAGACAGAGAAAGTGAGAAGAAGAAAAATGATGACGCCATGTAAATGCAAATGAGTACCCGCCCTGACCCTTTCCTCTCATCCGCGTCCGTCCTTGAGAGTGTGATGATCCAGTATGAAGAAAAGAAAATGACAATTTAGTGGTAAGATTCCCTGCCTGGCAGCACAAAGCGGACCTTCTTGATCGGCTTGCCCGCGACGGTAGGGATCTGCATGGGAGCCGTCTTGTGCTCCTGGAAGTATGCCTCCAAGTCCTCGGTGCTGAGGCCCCGCTCGCTCAGTGTCTCCTTCTCGGGCTCCTCCTCGATAGACCAGACATCGGGGCTAGGCTCGCGCCACGAGTGTCGGCGTAGCAGGGGCACGCTCCGCGACCGGGTGTGGCCAAACGTACGTCGAGACGGCGGTGGCGCAAACCGCTTAGAGGGTCGACCGCGCAGCGAGCCCACGTGGAATGAGTCTGGCGATAGCATGGACTCGAGACTGCTGCCGCTGCCGGGTGAGGCGCCGGCCGATCTGGGCCTCTCGATGCCAAGGTCGGGAAGACCAAGCGGGAGTGACTTGCTGGGCCGGAAGCGAACATAGTCCTCGTCATCGTCCGAGTCGCTATCGAGGATGGCACAGTCATGTTGGCTGTTGTTGTTCTTTTTGTCACCCTTGCCCTTGGCCTTGTATGACTTGAGACCATCGAGGGTGGATGGGCTCACGCTGCGAATGATCTCTTGCGGCTTGTTTGCATCTTCGATACCAGCATCAAAGTCGAACTGGAACTCGAGGTCCTCGTCCTCGGGTGTGGCCGGGGTGAGAAAGTACCTTAGAGGGTCTCGCTGCAATAGCGGCATGTCGAGGTCATCCTCGTCGGTGAACTCATCCTCGTCCAGCTGGGGAGTAGTAGGACGACCGGGCGAGGCCGGCCAGGAGCCTGGCCGTAGTGGCGAGAGCGTGCTGGTTGGGAAGTAAGGCATGGCTCTGGCTTTTGTATAGTTGTTGTTATTGTTGTTGTTATAAGGTTCTTAATAGAACTCGATATGGAAATGGGTCAGGTGGATGTATACCATTCCGTGCTCAAATATTTTATTTTTATTTTGTCTTTCTTTTCTTGTATGAATATTGCGATATTCGTTGTTGACCGCAATCTAACAAGTGCCGCCGGGCTTCAGCCGGCTCAAGCTGTTGTGTCCAGGATGGAAACGAAAAGGAAATCCGGAGACCGTTGACGAAATCTCAGACGCGGAAAATGGGGATGAGTCGAAAGAAACAAAAGTCGTCTCAGCAAGCAAGACACGGCGGTGGCGGCATTCTTATATCTATATCATGACTAGGCAAGTTGGGTTGGTTGGTAGGCAGGCAGGTTACTTAGATACCTGATAGGCAGAAGAGAGGAGAGGATCTACGCCCCCGCCCGCCCTACGATGAGGACTAATAATCCCGGTAAGAGGTGTTCCCATCCCAGTCCCGCAGTCAGTCATTGCCCAATATGAACAGGTTGCCTTGTGAGTAGGCAGCCTGATTATTGGGCGGTCATCCCGCCTCGGCGCGCATTGGGAGGGATCCCCACAGTGACAAGGGGGGGGTTCCATTACCTGACTTTGACTCGAAGGGTGACTGACTAACTTGATTATAGTGGACGTGAAGCGGGCGAGAAAATGTGTGAGTCTGTGCCACGGTGAACGCTTGTCTTGCCGGTTTCCTTGGTAGGGGATTGCCAGAAACGGAATCACGCGTCCAAACAGGGTGGGTAAGATGGCTAAGATGTGAGTGGAAACTTAAAAGGCTGGTCGATTTCTTACCAGGTCCAGGTAGGTAAGGGTAGGTAGCAGGCAGGTCAAAAAAGGTATACGTACGGGGGGGAGGAGGCATCTAGCTGCGAGGATGGATGAGAGAGAGAGAGAGAGCAAGCGTCGTTGCAACCAACCAGGGAAATACGCACTTGGCCCAGGCTAGGTAAGACATTGAGGCCACCCTCAGGTAGGCCAGATGACCGCGTCGCACACACTCAGCCTCCAAAGCTTTGCGAAGCTGCCGCGCACACGGGAGCGTAGTGATTGTTACACTTGGATGCACGAGGCTCAAAAAGACAAGTCATGCTCAAAGGTCAAGGTTTCGGGCCCATGGCATCCCAGAGGCAGCTTGATTTGTTATGCCAACCTACATAATGGCAGATCGACAAGAAACGAAGCCGTCTATGGAGGTTTTTGTGCAGCGTACCTTGCATTGCCTTGCCTTGCCGCTCCCCCGGCCGCGACGGATGTACGATCTCTTGCAGACGAAGACAGGCCTCATGATTGATCAGAGATATCCAGGGCTACATTGTAAAAGACAACGACAGACATTAGAGTCTTGTCTGCCGTTGGTCAGTATCACCATGGAATGGGGTACATGATCACCTTTGTGCCTCATCTTTTGCCGTGAGAGTCATTTTTTCCCCCTCCTTCGCTCTCGCATACTGGTAGGCTGGAGCCTTGTTTGTTATTTTTCGGTCCCTCCTCGTTCCGTTCCTTTACCGTTGAGGATTTGTGAGGAAAATAAAAAAGATGTGCGCTGCGTTACCAGCCACCGGCGATTCGTAATGGTCGCTTTGAGCTATCAACCTTGATAGTGTGTTAGTGTGCTCCCAGAATAGAGAAGAATGCTAAGAATCAGTGGGACTAGCACCTAGCTGGATGGCGCTCAATGGCTTGCAGGCTGACGGCGACCGCCTATTCGCTAGGGGACGGTGTGCTTGGATGCCACCAATATGCCACCCGACCCATTTCCTTAACAAAACCCCGTGCGTGCGGGGTGGGGGGTGGTGATGTGCAGTGTGCACTATAGTCTATCTGATAGATGACCCCCCTCCCCTCCCTTCTTTCTGTTTGTTTTCATTCGGTATTAGGGTTGGAACGGTTCGTGTTGAGGATCCGTCCCACCTGTACTGATAGATCAGATGATTGCCCTCGAGGTTCTTATCTTTTGGAGATCAAGGCCAAAATCCGTGATCATGATTCATGGAAACCGTTTGCCCTGGTGTGCGCGAGGATGCCATTTGACAATTGGAACCTGACAAAACTGATGGATAACAGGAAAAAGCCATGGCAATGTGGAGCAATGTCTCACTAGAAAGGGAAATTCGCGCTTTACGCACGTCGCCAATCCCGCTTCCAGAGCGAATAAAAGAAAGACATCTCTTGCGGACATAATGTGGAATTGACTCGTATTGAACTAATAGCCAAGGCAGTTGTGCTTGCGGTGGGGCTCCAGAGGACCAAATTGCCAGATATCCATAACCATGCCCTATCAGCGGACCGCGCCTTTGCCTTAGATGCGGGCTGGCGGGAGATCTTGATCGCCAACCTTGTTCACGATCGGTTTTCTGGAGACGGTGACGGGAAAGAGAGACAGGTAGGGAAAAAAAACAAAAAAAAAGAACCCAAAGCGCCCCATCCTCAGGTGGGACAGTGCTCAGGCAGCCCCATTCTTCTTTCTTCCTAGCGAGCGGCCGCCTAAGTGGTGAGGTCCGCCGAGGGCTGAAAAAAAAAAGGCTCTCAGCGTGCCTCAGCGATCAGCCCAACTTTACTTGAACTGTCAGAACTATCGTAGTCCCAGCCAAACGTTATTCTCTGGAGAACCTGAAAACTATCGATCTTCTTGCAGTCCGTGTTAATCTATTTGTCCATTAACGTTACCATGAGGCGCAGCTTAGACCCAACTCGGATATACTTCGAGGTTGAGTAAGCAAAAGTAGGCATATTCGCGACAGACGTTGACGGCGAATCAATCGCGTGAGATGCGCCACCAAACCATGGGGTTTGTTTCCCTTCAATAGATTTTCCCCATGCTTGTGTTTCTCTGCTTGGCTCTTTTACCAATCAAGATGCAAACATCTCAGGGTGCCTCAGCTGATAATCCAGGCCTTTGGCCTTCGGCACGACTCCTTCCGTTGTCTTTCTTGTCTTGGCCTGCCGACTTTTCCTGTGGCGGGTTTAAACCCGAGCGATGCAATGGCGGGCATGACTTTGGGCAACAAGACCCAAGCGTGCAAAAAAGTCCAGGTAAGACTGCCCGAGACGGCCAGCATATGCCTTCTTCAACGGCACTTCCGAATAAACTGGGACCCAAATGCAAGCAAGCAAGCAAAATCCGGGGACGAAGAAAAAGAAGCTTTCTAAAACAGAGATTGCCGGCTCTCGGGGCAGCATAAAGCTTGGGCTTTCAGCCACCGCTTATTTTCCAACTTTCCAACAGTTTGGTTCCGACATTTAGACCGCCTCTCAAGCCAAAACTCAAATCAGAACTAGAGATGCACAGATCCTGTAGCTGCCAGGAAATTTTCATTATGCTTTTGGTTGGCGGGAGAAATGTAAGGCTGAAACCAGACCGACTTATTACGAGAATTACTCAACTGGGTGGAGATTGAGTCTGTATGGTCGAATGGAAATGGGTCCTTGGCCATCGTCTCTTCCCAACTAGCAGCAGTATTTCGACCTTGCTCTGGGTCAAAATTGAACCTTTCAACCCAACAGTTCAACGGACCGATCACCACCAAATAATTGATCGTATCGTTTCAACACATCGTCGTTCCCTCAAATGAACGAATGCCTAAACAAAAATAAAAAATACTAATCGAGAAAATCCTTCACTTACACGTGCATCTTTTGGGTCTCTCTGTGTGATTTCAATCAGCTGCTGGAGCCTCTCACATGACTATTCATCTGAATACCATGACGTCAATATATTCTCCCTCCCTATTTGCAAACAATTTGGAAGGTATTCTAGGGTTTCCATGGCGGCTCTTGCTCGAGAACGAATCCAATCACCACGAATCCACAACAACTCTGTGATCCTACTATGAAAGAATGATTCCGCTTCTCTCCAGGGCTTGCACCCTCATCCAAGCAAAGGTTTGCGCGAATGATCCAAAATAATCCGAGAAGAGATCTTCTTCATGTGCAAGTTCGGTCCTACATTGCAATGGAGAACTTCCCATTGCAGTCGGCGGATTCATGCAAACATGATTCATCCCTCTGAGGAGGCTTATAACACGCAAATGATTTGCAACTACATCCACGTACACCTTTTCGAAAGACCAACATTACTTGCTTGCATGCAGGGTAGACGATTCTAGACGAGCACATGTACAAGGAGTTTTGAAACCACCATCCTGCATTATTCCCCTGTGGTGCAATCTAGGCCATGAGCCTCTTGTCGTCCGATCTGAAGAGAGAAGTTGCAGCACTTTTTCTGGTCTGAAGTCATTATCCAGTGATGAAGGCGTCACTTTAGACTTGGCGATGGGTTGAAACCCACACAGCCTCTCTTGTTTCGCTATTTGAAGAAACAACCTAGATTGGACGGCACAGAATATTCGCAGTAAGCGAGGTATACCTGCATGCGTGACATTTTGCTCTCTAGCATGTCCAAGTATAGAACCAAAAAATCCTATAAGCTGCCGGCAGCTGGACGTTCGGCCGGTGATACCCAATGCGGTCGAGTTTGACACGGTGCTCCGAGACCCAGCAAATAGAGTTATTGCTCGCTTGTCTGCACGTGCCAGTGTCATCTGGTATCTCTGTGAACTATTCAGACAAGACATGGCGACTCACATCAGGCCCTGAAAATGAACAGAGGTGCGAGCGACATGGCCAGCCCTTATAAAGAAGTGCCCATCATCATAAAACTCTCGGCGGATGCTGGCGGTGGACCGGCCAAGAAGCTGCTCAGTTGCAGCGGAAGACGGCGGCTACATGTTGCCTGAGCGGAGTGCAACCATCGTTGAGTTTCCTATTGCGCATCCAAGCACGACAACATTTTGGTCCTCTACTTTTTTGCAACTCAACGGCTAGCGGCACATATTGTCAAGAGAAATGCATGAACTCTTACGAGAATCACGAGTATTTCGAGAATGGGGCTCGTTTCGCGTGGGTCTCATGTCGGTCAAGGGTCTCTTGGGGTCTCTGCAGGGGTCTCCGGCATCTTCTCAGAGCTCTATTGGCGCAGCTCTACCTTAATACCCCCTTGCTATGGACGATTTTAAACTCCTTGCACGGGGCTTCAGCGGGGAGGGGCCCAGCGGGATGACTCCTGTCAAAGCTGCTGCCATCCAAAATGCTCCTCAGATGATTCGTCGCAAGAGAAAAGAAGCTTCATCGGTAGAGACGACCCCACTATCCTTTGCATCCTGGGCTCGTTGTCGCCAAGGTCGCAGAGCCTCATGTAGGTGTACCTGAGATGGTCAGTATCAGCAGCTAGTGTTCCTGTTTCCTTCTGCTAAAAGTGCTTATTTCCATGACCTGGTACTTTTCGGCGCGAACAGAGCTTCGGGTCCCGATACTGTTTGTGGAATTGCCCAGCGTCAAGGGCGTTCACATATACACATGCCGTCCCATTAACTCCAACGAGAGCTCCTGTATAGCTGGGCAGCTCTGTATAGAATACCCCCGGTCAAACAAATTGCTCCTCCCCATTGGGGATCCGCGGGTCCTGTTTGGTCCAGGAGCTGGATATCGAGCGGATGGCACATCATCCGGTGAGATCAAGACGTCGACTACGGCGATCTTTGGGCAAGTATATATCTAAAAGCCCGCCTGCTTGACGGCATTGATGAAGATCTCATTATCTGCTCATCGTAAGATCGCTACCTCCTCAGTCTCTCCCGCTTCGACCTTCCTTTACTTCTTTTTGAAGCGCCCCAGTGGCAGCATCGTTCTTTTTTCTTGTAATAACCGGGTTGAGTCCGTCATCATTCCTTTGATAGGTTTTGTTTCTTTTCGCCTCTAGACGAGTGCCTTTTCTTCAGATATCAAGATGCAGTTGACATATACCTGGGCCGCCCTATTGGGCCTCACATCGCTGGTCGCCTCTGGTAAGCAGGATGATCGCCTACATGATCGCTGAGCATATCGGACTAACACCTCGACAGCACCAGCCGAGCGCGGACTGAAGCGGACCTCGAGGGCTCAAAAGAGAGAGCCTCTGCAAATTGTGCAAGAAGTTCAACAGACGGACATTATCATTGTTAATCAGAACCTCGACCAGTTGGCCGCACAACAACAGATTATTGAGCAAGAGTTTGCCGCTCTCGTACAAGCCGAGGTTGCTCTTGTTACCCAGTTGGAAACCATCAAGAACAATATTCGTGTCAACCACTTCAAGGCCCGCTTCAACCAGGTCGTAAGTCAACAATGCTATCCACACCAGCTTGTGCCGAGGCTAATATTACATGGTGTAGAACACTGTCATCGTGACAGTACAGACGCTTGTGGACCAGCGCTCAAAGGATGCATCCAACAGGTATCTGGTCAAGCAGCTTCTAGCTGATAATGGCAAACCCGAGTCCCAACAGGTGATCATGGTTTCAGAGGCCGCCACCATGACGATCCAGGCAGCCGCTCAGACACTGGACGGTGCGAGCATTCTATCCTCCCCTACTGGTACGCCCCAGATTGCGGGTTTCGACGCCAGCGTCCCCTTTGGCCAGCTGAACCAGAGTGTCATTCTTCCCGCCGGCGCCCAGGCACCCAAGATTAGCCAGGTCTTTGCCGACCCGGCCGCCATCATCCTCCCGAACCAGAACAGCCTGTTTGTTGAGGACTCGGGTGCCTTCCTTAGCGACTGTGTGCAGTCCAGCGGCTTCTTCCAGCTGGCGGGCGCTGCGATCTACCAGTCTTTTGCTCAGCTTGCCGCAGCACAGGCCGGAGCCATCATCATCATTGACAACAGCAACAATGGCGGCAATAACGACAACAAGAATAACGACAACAACAACAACAACAATGACAAGAATAACGACAACAAGAACAATGACAACAAGGATGGCAAGGACAAGGGAGGTGACGCGGCCAAGGCATCATCGGCCGCGACCGAGACGGCTGCTGCTTCAGCCACCTCTGCGGCCACAGAAGTTGCAGCTCCTCCCGCTGCTACTCCCGCCCCCGAAGCCGCTCCCGTTGCGACGGCACCAGCAGAGGCTGCGCCTGTCGAGGCTACACCAGCAGAGGCCGCACCCGTTGAAGCTACACCAGCCGTGGCGACGGCACCGGTCGAAGCTGCTCCCGCCGTGGCTACTACTCCCGCGGCTGCAACTCCTGCGGCTCCTGCCCAGGGTGGGTTCGTCACCATCGTACCACCGGCGCCTGCAGCCTAAGTGGGCTCTATCATCATCGATGCTCATTAGATCTATTTGATGCCTTTCACGAAAAAGGAGTTTGGGTCCACGGGTGCTGGTGTCTCCTGTTTCTACCATGGGAAAAGAGTATTGGGAATTAACGGGCGATCCTGGAAGATCCTCTGCTGACGGTAGATCCGTTCGAGTCCCTTGGAGTTTTCTTTTTTCCATATTATTTTTCTTTAATATCTGATCATGGACAATCATATAGTTGAAAGGCTTTTGAGGGATCAAAAAGCAAACGAATCGCTGTCATTGCCAGGCAGTGACAATACTAGATACCCAATCAAAGAAACAGTAGAAGAATAAGCATATATTGCCAAGCCAATGAAACCTCTCGGTGAATAAAAACCCTGTACCTTATGTGCCACGTCAAATCCACTTAAGCTTTTTCGTTTTCCAATGCATAAAGAGCGGACAGTTTATTGCCGGCGTCTTTTTCTCTCCCTGTTTGATCGGAGTGTCAAAGCCAGGGCAGGAGAACTCGGCCCGTGGCAGGGGGGTCGGGAATGCCAAGAGAAAAGGAGACGGGAGGTCGATCAAACATGTCGCAACTTTGCCGACGAATCCGATAGAACTTTGAGCCGCCGAGGGTATATAAGCTTAAATGTATGCCGTGGTGCTTTTCCCAAGTGTTTCTGGTTTTGCCCTCTGTGCTGTTTATCGTGATCTTTAGTGCATATAAAGATAAGTGCCAGGCTACGGTGGAATTCTGTCTCGGTGCCTTGACCAATCACTGCATGCGCCCCTCGCTGCAATCATCATTGAACGATTTTGGTGATATTCTCCTGAAAACTTGATTTGAAATATGGCTTGGGTTTCGTTCAAAAGGTTTGCAAGTTTCCTTGATCGGTGGCGCTGAGCGGAATCTGGGACACACTCCTCTTTCTGGTGGATGCGATGCGACGAATCCCAACTCCTAGGAGCATCATGCGACAGTTGTTACATGGCAGTGTATCTTTACATCAAACGGCGCATTTACTGTAATACCAAAAGGCAATCATTGTGCCTACATTATGACTATGTGGAACTATCACCTTCACAATCCAGACGATGTTCAAATGCATCATCATTGATAACCTCATCCTGTTCGAAGAAATGGTTGCAATCACCATGTTATTGGCCATCAGTGGTGCGAGTTTTCTGGGCACTTTTTTCTGGGGTTGAGTCTCTAACTTCATTGTTGTGCTGAAATGACTCCTCAGCTTTTTTCCACCTTTTGGTTTTGAGGCACGTTTTTTCAGCACAATCAATATGATTGCGTTGTCTAAGTCATGTCAAGGTGGCCAACGAGCGCTTCATATCTACTTGAAATTATCCCAATTTGGGGAAATCTTTTTATTGATGGCTGTAGCCAAATGTGACATCTATGATTCGTCTTTGGAAATGCTGTCTATCAATACTGTACCTGTGGTACACATAAATCAGGTGGAAATATTCATGATTCTGAGAAAGTAAAACGCACGCCCAAAACGCCTTCGCTGTGATGATCCTGTCCGTGTCCAACTCAACAGTTGATCTATCCATATCTGATTCCCCAAACTCATCAAAACATTTGGGTCCGTTGCAAATTATTTGCCCTTGTCCTCGTCAAGTCGTGGCGCATTGTGCCTCTCTCAACAGCAGCAACAACAGCAACAGTCGCACAACTCGGCACAGCAAAGTCCGGTACAAATACCGCAGCAGACAGACTACCGCGGGGGGAAAGAACCATGTTAGCAATCAATACTATCTTCTGACCTCAATATAGCATGTGTTTCCAGATTGGAGGCTCCAAGGGATATGATGGTTAAACTTACACCTGCTCCGCCGCCCCGAAGTCCCATTTCCTCGTCCGATTGTCTCATCATCATGGGCTGCATCGGCCTCTGTAACCATAGAGTAAATGTCAGTATCAATCATTTATAGCAAAAAACAGATAAGCAATCACTGCTCCGATTTGGGATTTTGCAGTCCATGACCCGGTAGATGGGCTTACCGGCTGTTCATTCCTGACGCCCGCGTAATCTGGTCCGTATACCATGGCTGGGGCCGGCACTGTGGGCATGGTGGAATATGTCGTCCTCGGTACCTCCATCTTTTTCATTCCAGATTCCCTTTTTTTTTTTCCTTCTCGGATTCTTTCAAAACAAATGAATTGATTTCCGCAGCTCGGATGCCCGACAAAGTTTATGGTGGTGTTGTTGAAGATCGCCCAAGTCTTCAAGGTCGACCCAGGGCTGTGCCAAAAATAGAAGCAAATCGCCGAGCCAACCGGGAGAGAGAAAAAGACGAAGTGAGGGTAAGAAGCGTTCTATAGTCTTCGGTGGGTTCTCAGTGCATAGGCAATATATCAACCAAATTTCCCGGACAAGAAGGGGGGGGGGGGGGAAAGGGTAGACAAACAAGAAGGGAAAAGATAAAGGAAATTAGGAATAAGATGTCATGGTTGAGGCAGAAGAATCCCATCTATTCAAAAGAGAGAGACAGAGAAAAGCAGGGCTGCAGCGACCACATTTTAAGGAATTGAGTTGCTGACTAGGTACATGACCCAAGGGAATATGCCTGCAGACATATGGGCATGGGCGTACTGCGTGTGCTTACTGTCCCCCAGCAGAGAATGAAATAACAAAAAAGAAGCATCCTCTTGTCGCATTGGCTGGTCCTTTCAATTGGGCGAACGCCAACCAAGAAAGGATCAACGTCATGTTTTGCGCGCAGGAAAATCCTTTCTACGGGGGTCAGTCCCCCCTTCGTGGTTACAGCGCCAGTGCTGAAGACCAGCGTGCATCATTGAATGGGGCTGAGGATTTTTCGGATTCCTTTCCGAATAGTTGCCGCAGAACAGGGACCAAGTACATACCATAAGTCTTTGCAACTCAGCTGGGCGCAGCACACATGCACATAGGTACTCTGCACACAGCACACGCGCGCGTTGCTGCGCCATCTTGAGCCTCAAAGACATGACGAGTAAGTCTGTGTCAAATCCGAACAGATCCGGTCCAGCCCTTCACGTGTAACATACATACCTAGGATGCGCAAACTCTCGTCACTTCATCAGTGCCAGGACTGGAACTTTCATTAATCGCTGCGCCTACAACCTAGCGGCAGACTATCTCGTGTCTTTTTCAGCTCTATATAGTATGCAAACCCCAAGACGAATGCGCAATCCCTATACCCTGAGAACCATTGATGTTTCGTCGCAAACCATTGCTGAGGCCCTGTAAGTCATGCTTGTCAAAAACCATCCATTGCCATACCAATGCAGTGTACCAATACCAGAAACGCCCGGTGCTGATGTGCGACCGATCATAAATCATGAGTCCCATATGTCCGGGCCAATGTCTATAGGTGTGCCTGTAATTCATTATTTCCTTTTCCGTAATCCATCCCTCACTTCCTTAATGGGCATGCGAAGTGAATGCAGTGCTGAGACCCAATAATGCCATGCCGAGAAATGCAAATAGAATGCTCATGTTGCGGTTGTGGTTCAAGCTCAGACTTTCCACAAAGAGCTGCAATGCCACGCTTGCCATGATACCAGCCGTGACTGCAAAGAGACAGCCATATGCCACATTGTCAGGCGTCATGTTGGTGTGTTTGGCGATCTTGAACCAAAGCACTGCGATACCAGCACCAAGTGGTTGACTCAAACCACCCAAGAGGAATGACCAGCCCATGGCCTTGAGTCGACTGTTGAGGGCCATGTACAGCGGTAGAGCCATGGCAAATCCCTCGGAGATGTTGTGCACAAATAGTGCAAGAAATACATTAAATCCAAGCGACGGGTTGGCATGGTTGGTCGCGTAAGTAATGAAGCCCTCGGGGAATTTGTGTAGGGCAATGGCAATCGAGGTTTGGAGTCCGATGGACAGATAGGCGTTCTCGGGGACGTGGTGATGGTGCTGTGCCTCCAAATCGACCGAGTCCTCAGACACACAGTCGTCTTGTGGAACGCGGTTGTTACTCCAGTCGCGGCTGGGGCCTCGCGAGCGTGCTCGACTCGTACGTCGCTGTGGGGCCCATGTCTGGTGAGGCGCGAGCAACTCATTAGGCTCCTCACGCAGTGTCTGCATGTTTGCCTGAGCTGCTGTCTCCGTTGTAGTGCGCATAAAAGTCGGGGGTCGTGATAGGTTGGATGATGAACGACTGTTGACTGCCTTGAAGCATTCCTGCCCACATGGGTCTGAGAAGCCATGGCACGGTCCATTTGCATCGCAATTAGCTTTCGAATCAGCAGCAAACGACGTGACTCGTTTTGTGATGAGCTGTACCATCGATGGCCGTCTATTGACTGTGGCTTCTCTGGGGCGAGCTGGCTTTGAAGTCGCCGATTCTTCCGAGTTGTCATTTACCTCGGTGACAGCTTTTGATTGCTCTGTATCGTGGTCGTCATCGTGCATGAGGTCTCCTCCCAGCAGAGGAGTCGATTCGGTAGCATGTCCGTTTGCCCCATTCTCCTCGTGCACATGCTGGTGGCTAGGTTGGCGGTGCCTATGAAAGCTACCACCATGTGAGTGATGTCGATGAGCATCGCCATTATGGTGTGAGTGATCGTCCTCGGCCTGCTCCTTGTGAGTATGGTCGCAATCAACGACATGCGAAGGCAAAAAGCGATGGCACAGTCGAGATATGATCTGGATACCCAAGAAACCGCCGACAAAAGAGCCAATCAGCAGAAACCCTGCTGGCTGCTCATCAAAGCCCCCTTTCTTGAGATAGCTCTTGGCCTCGGGCAGCATGCTGTACAGGGACATGAATATCTGTGCATAATTGTTAGCCATCAAAGGTCCTTCCTTCGGTAATACTTTGGTGAGAGGTTGCCTACCATGACGCCGAAACTCAGGCTTAGCGACGAAGCCAAGAAAGCGTCGCTGTCCTGTACACGAAAGTTCTTCTTGCCCGGAAGTAGTCGGACAAGCCAGTCAACACAAATGACGCTGGCGCCCAGAACACAAGCTGTCGCAAGAAGTCGGGTTAGCAATTGGCACAACGGCGTACAAAGTAATCGGGGTTTGCTTAGGGTCACTTACCAATGCCGCTCACAAGGGCCATGATCCAGCCTCTTGTGTCATTGTCCAACTCCATCGTCTCCATGATGACCGACCAGGTAGCCTCGCCTCCAAGGTGCTCGAGAGAATCGAGTTTAATCTTGCAGGTTGGGTGCAGCGAAACCAGGTGCTGCTGCACACACTCTCTAGGACGCAAAAATCAATGTCATGAACTGTGATGTATACAAGGAAATGATGTAGCAATCTCGAAACAAGAGTCTCTGAAGAAGCAGGCGAATAGGGTCGGGCGTGGAGGAATTCGAGTTGAGTAGTGGGCGAGAATGGAAAGATCCAAGGTCAATCAATAGATTGTATGGCAATATGTTGGGCTTTCTGGCAGGCGGTGTCCTACCTAGAGGGATTCCAGTCCCGCTTGATTGGTACAAAGTAGTGTCGCCCGGTCAGTGGGTAGGTGTTGTGTTGATGATGGCATAGGCAGAAGAAGCGCCAAGGTGGTCCGGCGGGCTTGAGGGTAGTAGCTAAGGTAGGGGGGTTTCTGAGAACCTTGAGGGACCACCACGGGCTACCCCCAGCCTATCACAATCGCCCGGAATCGACGAGAACCGCTTTCATGGGCAGAGGGAACAATGGTCTGTCTGAATGGATCGTTGCACAAGGTTGCTTATTTCCACCTGTGAAACAAACGGTATCAATGTGCAAGTACACACCCCTTCTTCTATTTTTCTACTTTTCTAGTGATGCACAAGAACTCATAACTCCTTACTGTCAACAGAGGGAGGCTTCAAGGCTAGCACTGCATACAACCTACAACGATGCGATGATGACCCTCGACCCCCGTCGCGCCTGGCGGCACTTATTATACTAGGTCAGACCCATGATCTAGTATCTGGCGCACATGCAGGAACGGTGAGAACAACAAAGGAAACCCACGGGCTGCCAAAGAAGAGCTGACAAAGATGCACATATCCGCAATGGGCTGGGCAGCTTGGCAGACCCCCAACCGCCTCAATACCCTCCCAAAGCCCACCTTTTGTTCTCCAACTTATACCATCGTACCTTGTCGACACCTTGAAGATTCAAAAGACATTTGTTAGGCATGTGGGTGCGTGGATGCGTATGGAGATGTGATTGACTCAATCCAGTGCAGAGCGCTGACAGCACAATGGGGCCGGCCTAGTCAAACCCGTTGTGTATTTCGGGCGCGATCATTGTATCACAAGCCCTCTATCCATCCAGGTGGTCTGTCACACGCAGCCTGACCTCGAAATGTCCATGTCCCAAGTATCCTATCTAGCCTTATTAATGCGTTCAGCCGCGTGTGCAAAGTAATGGTAGTTACATTTACAAAGCCCATTTGGATTCTAAACCTTTCTTATCCAGCACAGACAGGCAAGGTTTCTTGCAATGACGTAGGTGTATCTTCACAGTCAAGGGTCCTTGCCAATATGAGCGACGAACAAGGACTTTCGATTTGGTCAGCACCTTGCTTGTTGCTGATCTGGGGTCCTGGGTTCCATAGTCGGTGCTTCTAACCGCCGACCAGCGGGGTGTACACTGCACGACGTGTCAGGCGGGGCATAAGTGAGAGAGAGCATCAGTGCTTGCATCCATTTTTTGCAGTTCCTTTGATACATGATTGCAAGGAATTGTTTCTTAGGAACCATACGCGGGCTCTCAAGTCCAATGTTTCTCTGCATGTTCCTGGCTTTCCTACGTGTTACGTACTTGCATTTGGCTGTTTCCTCCAATGGGACTCGAGCCTGTGCATCGGGCACTGATTACACAGAAAGTCATATCAAGTACGGTAACCGTGACCAGCTAATCAGAGCGCATGAGTTCCTACACATCAAATGCCAGCTTTGGTCGCCTTTAGACTGCTCAGTTGAGTGGTGGACAATAGCTGGTAATTTCGTCATACCTATGAGGACCATAAACAGAGTCCTGGTCATGCCTACTTACATATAGGCCTCCAGATATCAAGTAACCAGAGAAACGCCGTCTTGAGTGCTGACTGTGGCTCTGCGATCCCGCGTACTGATCAACAGGCCAGTGCAGATGATGTTTGCTGGGCTGCCCAAGTGATCTTGCGGCTCCGGTGCTCATCGTCCACTAACAGACGCCCAACCGGTCCCAGAGAGAGACAACCCGTTATGACCCGCAACCTGTAGCGTTGCACCAGGTCAATGCCCCTTGCCGCGTACCTAAGTGCTAAAGCAGGGGCCCTATTGCCGTCAATCCACATTCTTCAGCCCTGCAATCGCGCTGGAAGCTGGGAGCGCGTTTGCTACCAAGCATCTCAGAAATTTCTCCGCGTCCCCCCAATCCAGTCACTCTCATCTGAGACATACCGACCAACAGGTGCGCACACCAACCCAACACCACGAGGCGCTGTCAACTACCGCGTGGACCTCGCTGTACTCATACACCACACGCCTGACTGCCCAGTCATTCTTGTCAGCAGCGACAAAGATACGAAAGCCTCCAGCTTCCTTCTCCCCTGTATAAAACCACCACGGCCAGGATCGCTCCCCAGAGGGAGCCGTGAGATCTCGTTCAAGATGTCCAAGACAACATTTGCTATCATTGCTGCGGCGAGCGCAGGAGCCGGTGCCGCCATTACTGCAAGCATGTACAGCCTACGTCCCGAGCGCAAGCTCGAAACCAACACGATATCTACAACTACAACCACTATATCTACAGGCGCCTCCGCGCCCATTCCCATCCCCGGGAAGCAGGCCTTTGCGCAGCCAGGCCAGCCCGGCGGTCTCTCAACGTCTGCACCCGCCACGCTGCTGGGAGGTGCCCCCGTCGACCCCTCGGGCGTCTTCGAATATGGCTTCCCGGGCCCCGTATCCGACATCGCGACGCGCGCCGCACTCGTCTCCTCCTTTGACCGGCGGACGCGCAACCCGCACTGGGTGGTCGAGCACATTACGCCGGCATCGCTGGCACAACGCGACGGCGACCGCAAGCACAGCGCCTTTGTCGAGGATGAGGGCGTGCCCGACAAGTTCCGCGCCAAGCTGAAGGACTACTTTCGCTCGGGCTACGACCGTGGCCACCAGGTGCCCGCCGCCGACTGCAAGTGGTCCCAGGCCGCCATGGACGACACCTTTTACCTGACCAACATGTGCCCCCAAGTCGGCGAGGGCTTCAACCGCGACTACTGGGCGCACTTTGAGGACTTCTGCCGTCGCCTTACGGTCCGATACCCCAGCGTCCGTATCGTCACGGGCCCGCTATACCTGCCCAAGAAAGACCCCGTTGACAACAAGTGGTATGTCCGGTACGAGATGATTGGCAACCCGCCCAACGTGGCCGTGCCCACACACTTTTACAAGGTCATCTTTGCCGAAGCCGCCCCAGGCACCGCCGCGGGCCCCGTCGCCATTGGCGCCTTTGTCTTGCCCAACGCGCCCATCCCCAACGAGAAGCCCATTACCGACTTTGAGGTACCCGTCGAGGCCGTCGAGCGCGCCAGTGGTCTCGAGTTTGCCTCCAAGCTTCCCGTCGCCAGGAGGAAGCGATTGTGTGCCGACACTACTTGCGCTCTCGTCATCAAAGATTATGCCGAGAGACAAAAGGCATTTAACAAGTCGACCGCTGCGCCGTTGCCCGCCCCCAAGCGGTGATGATTTACGACCCTCGACATATCTATAGAGAAGGAAACTACAGGATGACAAACAATAATAACGAAGGAAATCGGATTGTCACATTATAGAATCTCAGCATTTGTCTTATTCCTGCATATGGATTTTCTGCCAACTCAGACGAGCCTGGACAGGGGTGGATGCGCACTTGTCCCTTCCTTTTGTGTTTGAATCCTTTTTGAGATTTTGGCGAACAATTTACACAGGAGCAGTCTTTGTAATATAGATTGAGAAACATCTGGCTTGGATTATCAGGACATACGGGAACAGCATTGGCACAGTACCAGCACAGCATCGCGTCGCATTGCATTACTAGGTAGTATAGCATTAACACCTGGTTTACTAGGAACCAAGGGGAACAGACTTCCAAGTTGTCAACATGTACATCGTTGCGAGTCAGTTAGCAGACTCGACGAGATAGTATATTGAGCTTCATGCTTCTGACCAGGGACCCTTAATCGCTCATGACTGAAGAAACGCTCCTATAAACGCCTTGGGTATTGTTGGCCCAATTTTTCCAGAAATTATCCAGGCACTCCTCTAGAAATACAAGCCATGCTTTTCTGATCAGTGACTTTTCTTTACCCCGGCCTCGGATCGACTAATTTCACATTGTATTGAATTCGTCTTCGACCTCAATCAACCCTTGTTATCTTGAGGTGACATCTTAATTAGGGACCTGCTTTGGTTCCTTTTTCCTTTTTCAGGACCTGCCTCGAGATGGTCCTCGGGGCTGTCCTCGGCATTCGTGACTGGTTTTTTCTTAGCGAATGCGAGTGTAATTTCCGCGTTTCTGTTCTGCCTTCAGGCTTTCCTCTTGACTAGGAAGGGGGGCTCTTCTGCGGCCTCCAGCATCAAAAGCAGAACCGTCGGCGCCATTCGGTGGCATTGGCGGTGGAGGAAAGCCAGGCGGGAATTGAAAGTTGGGAGGGGGAACCATCCCGGGTGGCAGCATGCCAGGCGGCGGGGGCAATGGAACACCAGCTTTCTGCATCATCTCTGTGATCCTAGCAAAGGCTTCGGGATCGTTGGGATCCATGCCAGGTATGGGAGGAGGTGGAGCAGCGCCATTCAGATTGGGAGGTATCGGGAACGGAAGAGGCGGTGGCACGACACCGGACGCACCGACGCCGGGAATCTGTGGCAGAGGCGGTGGGACGCCATTGGCAGGTAAACTGAGACCTGGCAGACCCGGTAAACCCGGGAGACCTGCGGGCTGTTGACTCTTGGCTGGCATTTTCTGGTCGACGAGTCCTTCTGCTTCGTCCTCGAGCTCTTGCTCTTCCTCTTCTTGCCGTTGGCGACGTGCATCACGGCGATGCCATGTTCCTTGAGCCTCGGCAGCAGCCTCCCCAATGTGATATCTGTCGTGGAATACCTCCGCGTCCCCAGGTCTAGCCCGCGACCAGAATCTCGTAATACGATCGTTGGATCCGGAGGCTAGAATGTGGCCTAGTGGGTGCCAATCAAGCGACCATATGGCATAATCATGCGCAAACGGTATTTTGTGCGCGGGATACAGAGTTTGCGCCGGTGCTGAAGATGGATCCGCGCTCTCGTAAGGGCTAACACTTATAGGTTGACCTGCTGGAGTATTCGGTTCGTCCAAAAGGTAGTGGAATAGAGAGCCCTCGGAGCCTCCAGTGCTCAGAAGGTTGGGGTGGATGGGATGCCATGCAAGGGTCGAAATGTCCTTTTCGTGACCTTTCAATAAACATACGTCCTTCATCATTCGCAAGTCAAAGACTCTTGCTGTTTGATCCCGAGCAGAAGTTGCCAAGCAATTTCCACGGACTCGCTCGAACAATGTTTTTGTAATGGTGTTCTTGTGCCCATGCAGCGTACGCAAGCATCGTCCAGGCGCTCTCGGATCCCATAACTTGACCAGATGGTCCTTTGATCCGGAAACGATAAGCCCCATGGTAGGATGCCAATCACAGCTTTTTGCATCCCAGCCGTGGCCTTTAAGCTCGCGTTCCTCGACACCACCGGTAAAGTCAAAAATTCTCACTTTGGAATCATCCGAGGCAGTAACAAATTTGGAGTCGTTGGGGCTGAAGGCAAGATCTCTGATTGGATCGTGAGAAACCTGAATAGCTTTGACATTGTTGAAGTTTGGCTGCCAGTACTTGATAGTACCATCGTGATCGGCGGATATCAGCCAGTCATCACTGTGAGAGTAGGCCATGGCCCGAATGGCAACATCGTGAGCCTGCATAATTGTCTCAAAGTTGAACCCAGTGCCATTCCACAGGGTGAACTCTCCGCTTGTGGACGCGGTCAGCAACCGACGGCCCTCTGGTGTCCATCGCACAACGTTGACGGGATGCTTGATTTTGTTGAGCGATGAGTGTAAGTGTTTTGCAGGAACGGAATCTGCAGGACTGGTAACTCTGGCCAGCGGTGGGAGCATCTTGAGGAGGGATCAGCATTACATTTTCCAGTGTGCCAGGCCGTCCCCCGAAGGCTACCTACATCGACAATATAGCTGGCGCTGGGGCGCTCAGCCTCGCCCTTGAAGGAACCCTGGTACCGCGGCCGGCGATCGCGAATCCAGTGCACCATGGTGGCGCCATAATCAGTGACTGGGCGCCGACCTCTGGCCCTTACAAAGCCGATGCCATCAGGCCCGTGATCACCTCCGCGCGGTTCGTAGGCCATCGCGTCGATATTGCCAGAATAAGCTATGTGACGACTACGATGCCCAAGTCATGTGAGCTGTGTGGCTTGCGTCGCCTGTGATGAATGGTACAAGTATGACAAAATAGAGATGATGCTGGTGAGGAATGTGGCTGGCGTCACATGAGCCTACGTAGCAAGACACAAAACACCAGACAGATGGACGAGGCTGATGGCAAGTATGGAATTGCTGTGAGAAAGAGCTCCACTCCTGTTCGCTGATGGGTTACTGCTGGCACGCACGCGGAATGGGCTTGGCTTGGGGGTGGTCGATTGCAGGCGGCGCGCGCGCGCTGGGCTTGAGTTCAGTCAGACACGCGCAGAGAAAATCCACCAGATGAGCTTTTGAGCTTTAGCTTGAGCTCCAAGGCCCCCAAGCTGGCCTGGAGGGGTAGGTACAGCAGGCACGTTCCTACTCTGTAGGTAGCCCGGTTTTCGTTTTCTTATCTTTTCGATAACGCCAACGAGATGAACCAGCTGGCAACACTTAGACAGCCCGGAATCACCCGTGACGTGATTCCCTCTTCATTTGGAATGTAGTTGTTAATATTGGAGGTGACACTGATGTTCACTGGCTAATTCCGATCATAGGGAATCAATTTGCGCTACTAAGACAAAAGGCAGATTTGCAACACATACTCGAGTTCTGTACCCCATATGTGCAAGCAGAAGTTATTTTATTTACTCGACATGTCATACTCAAAGTTGCACTTTATTGATAATCACTACAGCACTCATTCACCCCTTTATGAAGAAAAGTCTGGCCTCCTAGTACGTAGACAACCCGCCGGTAACCGAGCCGACAACCTCCGAGGCAAGGTGAATTGAACTGTTGGAACTGTCCTCTGTCTCTCCAGCGCCAGTGCTTTCCCTTTCACAGTGGCCAGGCGGCCCTATATCTGTGTGCTTTCAGTCAATGAATTCCTGAATCCACAACGTTCGCAATCACATGCGTCAGCCCACATACGTCTTGGCATATCAGAGCCCTGACATTTTCGAGATCGCCAGGGTCTGAATGCAATATGCCAGTAAATGGCAAAGGGACAAACAATATCCAATCGCTGCTAAACTCGCGTCCGGAGTAGATTTCGTCAAAACATTTTGCCAGTACTATTATCTGCACAGCGGTGTTATTACGGGCACACACATACCGAGAGAATGAGAGAGATTGGAGTAGATAGCAACATTCCAGTCTTGCCCATCCAATGCCCATGCCAACCAAATGCAAATGCAAATGCAGATGCAGCCTAGCAGCACAACCCTCGAGCTATCTACTACCTACATTACCTACGTACATCCTGCAGTGGCTAGCCGACCGCGAGCTGTGGTATGATTTGACTGCTGCAGCATTTCCCCTCTGTCGCTTCACCCTGGATAACAACCTTGGAAAACTCAATTGCGTCTGGCCAGAAAGGAGCTTGCTTGGCACTCAGGTAGCCCAGGCCAGCTCTCCCTCCTGTCCATACGTTTCCCTTTTTCCCTTGCCTAGAGCTACGTAGCCCAAGGGCGGAGCCGCCGCGGGAGACCGGCAGTCCTTGATGTTCATTATCATTTAAATTATCTTCATTGCGCAACACAAGAACCCATAATATTTACTTCTCAACCTTCCCGCATTGCGCGGCAGCAAATGAGAGTCGCAAACCTTGGGTCTGATCACTGCAACGAAGACACCAAGCCCATTTTCCTTATCAGAGACACCTTGCCTGAGGAGCTTGGAAGTATAGCTCGGCGCGGCGCCCTGGAACTCGCCATCAGCATTTTTTTTTTTTAGAGTTTGGAGGGGTATCCAGCTATCAGTGACGAAACTCTAAAGCATCTCGGGTCAACGCAAACAATCTTCCATAAGTCGATCCGAACCACCCAGCCGACTTCACATCACCTCATCATCAAGTATTTGCCTGCCTGCTTTCTTTGCTCATGTGTTGGTGCCCTGCCAATTAGTGACTGGGAAAGAGGATCGTTTTGGAGGGTTTCCATGAATCCTGCTACAGAAGAGACAGCAAGCACCATGGAATCAGCAACCTCTACGAGCGTGGAGACGGCCACCTCCCCAATTTCAAGCCGTAGACGCGAGGTATCCGGCACGCAGCAGCAGCAGCAGAATGCCAATGAGCCTACAAGGACTGGCCGCGCAAATGGGGCACCGACCTTTGTGAGGAGATACAGACATGTTGCAGCCATTCACTCCAAGACGCAACCATCAACGTTGAGCCACGATGCTGCCGCGGCCCCTAGCTTTCTCGGTTTTCGAAATTTGATGGTCATCACTCTTGGTATGATTGCTGCACCAACTCCTATCCAGGATCAGGCCCATGCTCACCATTGCTTTTAGTTGCGGGAAACCTTCGTTTGGTCATTGAGAACCTGCAGCGGGTAAGCTATATTCTGTGCTACCCTTTCCAACGGTTTACCTGGCTTACACCAGTCGTTAGTATGGCAACTTAATTTGTCTAAACTGCCATGGCTTCCGGAAACACGACGTTTTACTGGGACTTGGTCTTTACTTTGTGATACCATGCTTTTTGTGGGTTGCCCACTCCATCGAGCTCTTTGCTGCACAACAGGCCAAGGCATCACGAGCTCTGGCCGTTCGCAGAGGCGGCTCGGCCAGCCCCACGGAAGACCAAGCCGAGTCCTTCAGGGCCATGTGGATCAGGGTGAGATGGTTGCATGGGCTCAACGCCACCTTGGCATTGAGTTTAACCAGCTGGGTAGTCTACAGCTACATTCACCACCCACTGATAGGTACTGCGACTGAAGTGCATGCCATCATCGTCTGGCTGAAGACGGCTTCTTATGCCCTGACCAACCGAGATCTCCGCCATGCCTACCTTCATCCGGTGAAGGGCGAATTGGCCGCGCTTCCCGAGATTTACTCCAAGTGTCCTTACCCCGAAAACATCACCATGAGCAATCTGGCTTACTTTTGGTGGGCGCCGACTCTTGTATATCAGCCAGTCTACCCCCGGACCGAAAAGATACGCTGGAGGTTTGTATTCAAGCGCATTGGCGAGGCTGTCTGCTTGAGCGTATTCATTTGGTTCTGCAGCGCCCAGTATGCGGCTCCCGTCCTGCAAAACTCACTAAACAGCATGAGCACTCTCCGTGTTGCTTCCATTGTGGAAAGGCTGCTGAAGCTATCAACAATCTCCCTCGTCATCTGGCTCGCGGGCTTCTTTGCTCTTTTCCAGTCTACCCTGAATGCTTTGGCCGAAATCACTAGATTCGGCGATCGAAACTTCTACGACGACTGGTGGAATGCGACCAGTCTGCGCGACTATTGGAACATGTGGAACAAACCTGTACATGCTTTTATGAGGCGACATGTCTACTCTCCCATGATGGGGAGGGGATATGGCCAAACCCGCAGTTTTCTCGCAGTTTTCTTTGTCTCGGCCGTCTTGCACGAGATGGCTGTCGGAGTGCCCACACACAATATCATTGGTAAGTCTTTTTTTTTCTTTCTTCGTGCAGTAGTGCAATCTTGCTGACTGGGCATATAGGCGTGGCCTTTCTAGGCATGATGATGCAACTGCCATTAATTGTGATGACAGACTTGGTCAAGAAGTTTGTGGGCGAGCCACGAGGCAAGATTGTTGGAAATTGCACATTTTGGATCACCTTTACCATTCTTGGCCAGCCTTTCGCCGCATTGATCTACTACTATGCCTGGCAGGCCAAGTTTGGAAGCGTGAGCAAGATCAAGGCATGATTTATTACTTTGATGCCGTGTCTATAGAGGTTAGTTGAACCTCATGACTGAAGAAAAGTTCTTACCTTTCGACTTACCGCATAAACACTCTCTTAATGTGGTAGAATGGCGCTCTTGTTTCTTGGGTCGAAAGTGGAATAAGTTACGATTAGAACAATATATCGATCTCGACATGTAGAGCTAGCTGTACTAGAATTTCCGTGGTACGAAACAAAAACCACGCTGTGTCGATATGAACATTTCTTGACATTGAATAGAAACTATCTTGATCTGCATTAAGACCACTTGTTCGTCAACGACCACGGTGAGATGGCCGAGTTGGTTATGGCGCCAGGTTAAGGTCACCTTAACACCTACTTCCTGGTACGGAAACGTGCGTGGGTTCAAGTCCCACTCTCATCATCGCTTTCCTCCAGATACAATCTGGATACCACCTTTTTGCATACTTTTTATTGTTCTTCTCTTTTCGCAGTATAACACGTGGACGACCGTTGGTTCTATTTCTTCCAATACCGTATCATATCGCATAATTGTACACTTCACTCTCTTTTTCCAATGTTGAACAAGTGGGTTGTCTGGTTGAAAAATGGGTTTTTTTTGTCCCTCATCTATTCCCACATACGTATATATATAGTGGATCGCTAATTGACAGGTAGGATCCCCACGTCATCGTCGGGCTCCGAGCGAAGAGTGTCTAGCATATCCCTGCGATGAAACAGAACAGGAACCCAAAGGCCCCAAGCTCGGATCTTGCCATTCAACCCAACCAACCTCTAGTCTAACTGAAAAAGCTGCGCAAATCAAAACAAACAACAACAACAATAACAACATAACCAAATTCTTTTCCATTCTTCGGCGGTCGCCGCGCCTACTTACCTTTCTCCTCAATCTTTGAAGATGTGATTTTTGTGTGTGTGTGTGCATAATTGTAAATTGGCCCAGCGACTGTATTGACAGCAAGCACTGGTTGATTGAAGGCAAGCTCGGGGTGACCCCTCCAAGACATCCGACGTCCCGAGGTCCTCAAAACATCGTGATATCATAGAAAAGAAGAAGAGCATATTCCAAACAAGAACAACAATACATAAGCAGAGACGGAGACGGAGAGAGAGAGGGCGCAGGTGTGTCGTGATAGAGACAGAAAGGACAATGGCGCGCATCCGCCGCCTCCTCCCGTTTTCGCCCTCGGCGACGCCATTGCAGGCGACAACGTACCTGCTCGGCATCTCGCTCTTCAGCATCTCCTTCCTCGTCTTCCTCAACTCGGCCGTGTCGTTCCTCATCACCGACCTCGTCGACATCAAGACCCGCGTCGGCGACATTGTCGGCACCCTCGGCTTTGTCGATGAGGTCGTCGCCCTCGTCGCCTGCCCCGCCTGGGGTCTCGTCTCGGACCGCCTCGGCGTCCGCTGGGTCGCCGTGTTGGGATATACCGTCATTGGCCTCAGCCTCGTCTGCTTTGTTCAGGTGCCCCAGGGCTGGGCCGGCGTCCGCGCCCTCGTGGCTGTCCGGATCCTGTTTGCCCTCGGCGCCACCGCTGCTGCCACCATGGTCACGGCCATTCTGCCAAACTTGACAGACGACGGAGGGCTGGAAGAAGAGGACACGGGCGATGACGGTGCGCAGCAGCACAGAAGACGCGCCAGGAAGCCAAACCAGAGACACAGCGTGGCCATGAGCTTTGAGAGCGATGCCACGATTACGCCGCAGAGCTACTCGAGAGGTCTCAGCGCAGACGGCTCGAGCAGTAGCAGTCGCAGGAGGGGTGCTGGAACCCACGATGAAAACCAGTCGTCCACCAATGAAGACGGCAGAGGACGCAAACCATCGGCGCTGGCAGGATTCGTGGGTCTCTTCACAGGATGTGGCGCTTTGGTTGCGCTGGCCCTGTTTCTACCGCTGCCGACACGCTTTTCCAAGCGCGAGGGTGTTACGCCCGCCCAGGCCATCACGTACAGCTTTTACGTCGTGGCGTTGGTGGCCCTAGGCGTAGCCCTTTTCGTCTTCATCGGCCTGAAGGATCTCAAGGGAGAGGAGGGCAAGGGCTGGCGCATGTTGCTCGGCCTCAAGCGGAAGAGGGAGGCGGGTGCCATTGCAAGCGACGACGAGACGTCACCGGCCGCTGCTGCCGGGCACCGACCTCTGGCGTATCGCCATCTCCTCATGTCCTCGCTTCGCCTAGGCCTGACTGATCCGCACATTGCCGTCGGATACCTAGGTGGCTTCGTGGCTCGCGCCAGCACCGTGGCCATTAGCCTCTTTATCCCACTCTACATCAACACCTTCTTCATCAGCAACGGCTTTTGCCAAGGCTCGCCCAACGACCCGTCGCCCGAGCTGAAAAAGGAGTGTCGAACGGCCTATATTCTTTCCTCTATCCTGAGCGGCGTGGCACAATTGATTGCCCTCATGTGCGCACCGCTGTTTGGATACCTGAGCGCCAGAAAGTGGCGCGGTATCAACTTGCCGATCCTGATTGCTACCCTCTGCGGTGTCGTGGGCTATATCGCCTTTCCCCGTCTGCCGAGCCCGGAATACAGGGACATTGACGGTCGAGGCGGAGGTGGTGTCGTCTTTCTAGTTGTCGCGCTGCTGGGCATTAGCCAGATTGGTGCTATTGTCTGCAGTCTCGGCTCTCTAGGGCGAGGTGTCTTGAGCGCTGACCTGCCCGTCGCCGTCTCCCCAACGTCGTCGGGACGGGATGGCGGCGAGGGCGAGGGCGAGGGCGAGGGCGAGGGCGAGGGCGAGAATGCACCGCTGCTAGAGAATGGCAACGGGCACGAAATCACGCGGCAGGAAGATGAGAAGCTTGTCTCGCGTGTTCAGCTCAAGGGCTCGGTGGCAGGCGTCTATTCGTGGTGTGGCGGTGCCGCCATCTTGTTGCTCACCAAGCTGGGAGGATACCTTTTCGACGTTGCTAGCACTGGTGCACCTTTTTACATGATGGCTGCCTTTAATGCGTTGCTTCTAGTTGCCGTGCTGGCGATTGATCTTGGGAATGGGATCAGGGGTACTAGGTCGTAGACGCGCAAAGAAGAAGAAAATGGAAAATTAGATTTGTACATATAGGCAACATGAGTATATTTGATTGATTGACATGTCAAAACCGATTGTTATCCTTTTGCTGTGATTTGTGCCAGAACTACCCTGCCTCAAATGACCACGTTATTCTTGAATATGAATTCAACTCTTGTTTATACATTGTATACCTGGTATGTATATCTACACAGCCTGTTCCCTTGCGATAATATTCAAATCTAGGCTTTTTGAGGATATGACTTGGAATGTACACCCGCAGGTGCGAAACAGCCCTCGTCACCAAGCGTGAAGCTCAGACCTTCCCAGTCAGAGCGATGAGTTGTGTCTATCATGATGTTCATCATGTTCCGACTCTAGCTGTATGTTGAATTTTCAAATCTTGGCAGGATTCAATTCTTCACGAGCATAAACTCTCTCACTCTCATGTACTCGGCATCTTGCCATCACCAGCATGTTTCTTTGTGCAGCCATTGACAGTTTGGGGTTGTTGGTGTATAGACCCCTTCCGTATGATTTTAAAGGTCTGAGTCAACCGAAACTCGGGGCGCCGGCCTTCAAAACCCTCGCTGCGACGTACGGATTTATTTTGGGTATTATACTGACCTGGAAGATTCCTGTCCGTCGTTCGAATGCAGCAGTGCTCTACGCTATCTCTGAGTACATATGAGGACAACCATGATGACTAAGTTGCTGTAGTATGTTCCGGCAAAGGGCAAGGTGATGTAAGCCAAGCTAGCAAATCCAGTCCGCACGTCACTCTGATCTGATTGACAGTTGCCCTACGGCGGTTTAGAGATATGGGGTTGATAACTGGTGCACACGAGACACTTTGAAGGTATTGTGCCCATAGCGCGCGCTCCTGTCGTCGGGTGTCGCAAGTCGGTCGTTGTGCTTGGTGCTCTATATTGTCCGAAGCTCGCAGTGATTCGTCGACGTGTGGAAGCCAGTGACGAAGGCGTCAATCGCAACGAGCTATAATCGTCTGATGTGACGAGCTTGAAAATGCTTGTTTCATGCAAGAAGACAAAATTTGCTATCTTCCTGTGACGACTTGCGAGTCAGGACACATTGATCAACCTGGTTTATATCAGGGATATCGTCCTCCGGCATCGTGATAAGAGGCAATCTTGCCCGCAAACGCCAGACAGCTCAGGCGATACAGAGGCAACGATGGAGCGAGATCGGCGGCATGTCGACACTCAGACCAAGGCAAACTGGGTACAGTAAACCATGTCACCGTTGGAACGTTGCAGCTGCAGATGTCAAGGATGTCGACTTGTCACTAGCATGAAAAGGGGATTTGCAACTAAAAGGCTATTGACGCAGGGGTGTGAGTTTCCAGAAGAGCGCTAGAATCCTTCCAGAAGGTAATGGGAGAAAAGTCTTGTCTCACTTTGCTCCGGCGCGTAGGTTACCTGACAGTCTGGCGGCGCCGTGGGCGTTGCTGTGTAGCATATTGCAGAGCCGGCTCTGCTCTGGAGTCAACGCCGATGATTCTGTCGGCAATGTCGATCGTCTTGGCTTGCTGTACGTAGAACTGAATTGCATTTCAGCTATATATGATTTGCAATGGGGATAGGGCTGGGCAGTCGAGTCAGGGTCGGCAATGACGCAAAAATGCGGAAGACAGAGTCGCTAGGCCAGGTCAAAGATCACCTTTAACAGAGCGTGGTTCGTGATGTGAGTTGTGTTGTCTCCGAGTCTATCGGCGTCTAGTAAACTCCTAAACATCGTCAATAGGAGCATTTGTTGCCAAACCTCGGCCTGAGCATGTCGTATCACTGGCACTTGACATTCTTCTTTCGATCGGGTCGATGTCAAGGAGCCATTGCCAGGCAATGGTGCGCACATTTGTGTGTTTGGGGGGCTGCAGCGCTCAGTCGGTGGCTTCACTCTTGTCCAGTGCTATATTAACATCAAGGCCGGCGCCGGGCGGAGCTCGAACATGGCTAAGAAGCTGCCTAGCAGCACCCAACAGACCTTGACAGCCTCAGCGCGCCACAAACCAGACGAAGGAACAAAGTGGCTCCAAGGGACGGACGGCTGACGGGCAGCGTGGGCAACAGCGGGACAGCTCCTCGGAGATGCATAATCGATCTCGCAAGGATCGTTTCCCCAGGCGAGCCAGGCTAGCAACGCCAAGGCACACTTTTACCAATACGGTATGCGTCCGAAGGGTCGGCAGTCGAGGTTGCTGGGCTGTGGAATTCCTTTCCCTTTCGGGGCAAAATATCCATCAGGTTTGGCTGTCGCGGAATTTGTTCAATTCGCATAGCGGAACGGTGCTTGCACAATAATCGCCCTCATACGGGCGCAGTGGAGTTGGCGCTGGAACGCAATGAATTTTCGAGCAGATCATGGCAACAACAAGGCAAGATAGGGGGGCAATAATGAAGTAGAGATGGGCAATTCTATTGAATTCTTATTATGGGTAGGCATGGAGTGACAGTTGTTGCGTGAAGACTAAAACCGACCAACGGAACTGGGACGACAGGATGGCGGGCAGGTAGCTGGGAGCTGGAGCTGGAGCTGGCTGGACCGGGCATGCTTGGCAATGCAATTATCAGAGTTCATGTAGTACAACGACAGGCGGACGGCGACTTGTAATGGGTGGAAGGAGGGGTAATCAAAAGCAACCAGAAAACCAACTGACAGCGCAAACAAGCAAACAACCAGCTGGTCACATGAAAAGGGTGTCTAGAGGCGCCAGCGGTACATCATCGCTCATTGGGTTTTGTCCAGCTAGCCCATCGATTACTCCGATTCGCGTGATGCGCAGACTGACGTGACTACTGTCACCGGGTTAAGCGACACCCATCAACCCTGAAGGTGCATTCTCCCAAATATATGGGTAGGGATGAGACTACGTACTAGACAAACGTTGGTATTGTTTTTCGATTGCTGTGAAAGTCGGGATTGCTAGCGTATAAGGAGAGGAGATAACTTGGTCTGTAGTCAGAGATGGTTTGTTTCTATCTAGTCACCAGCTACAGAGCCCAGGCAGAGATGTCAGGACTGCACACCTCACTTTCAGATACCAGATCGCTCTGGGAAAGACAATCGAGCCCGCCGTCATCCGATGCTTCCAATCTCATGTCTCTGTCGTGATGGTAGCCTTTCGTACCAAGAAGAATACTGAGGTGCACGTCCCTAGCTTCACTAACGGCCTCTCCCTTGGTTAAAGTGCCAAAACGTGGTTTGAACTGAGCACGCCCGTCATGCTGAGCTCGAGGCGCAACCATGACATGCAATGAATGCTCAAGCTCGGGATGACAACATCGTCCGGCGCTAATGGTTAGAGTTTGAACCCCTCCAGAACGTTGGGCCCGGGAGTATCATAAAAATATATCACCGTCCTTGACGGGCATTCAGTTGATTTTACTGTGAATCAACAATGAACCCTATTCAAGTGAATTTACGCAGAGCATCCAGTATATATCTGTAGCTGGATTCGGACAGGAAAACGAAATCGGCGGGTTTTGAAAGAAGTTGTGTGTATCTATTCCAAAGTCCTTTTGATTTTCTTACTTTACACCAATTGGGACATGTGCACTGGGAAACCGTCACTGTCTAGGTGCCCATTTCCCAAAGCCTTTGAGAAAACCCACAAAGAAAGAGAGCGCACATATTGATGATGATGATGATGATTGATTGATTCTTCTTGTTCATCTACAATGCCTACACAGAGTATATAGCCTGCAGGTCGCCGGATCGAGGATGATGTGATACTCTGTACTTACCAGGATGTCATGCACGTCTTCTCAAAGTCACTGGGGTTCGAATTTTCACCCCGGTTTATGCACTTAACAGGAAGACCAGGCTTGCGTGGACCGAGTACCCAAGTTTCAATTACTTTATATGAACAAGGACCCCAAGAAGAAGAAGCAGCAGCAGCCTCCGCGACTGAATTGCAGAGGCAGCTCCAATTGAGATTGAGCAGCCTTTTTACTCCACCACGAGCGACTTGCTACTTTCACTACTACACCTTATTACCATCGATATTTGCTTGTTGATGGAACTGTGCCTACATTTCATGCAATACATTGTACCACAGCTTGCACTCGTGCTTGGTTGGCCTTCTTGTGGACTCAAGCAACTACTGAGCTAACTGCCAGGAGCTTGTTGTAACACATCAAGTACATTCTCATTCTATTCTAACCTGTCTACTCACCCTACCTTGACCTACCTACTACATTGAACAGAACTACCTTACCTATTGCATTACCTGACACACCACTGTTTGATACGTCCGCCCGTCGTCAGCACCAGACAGACGTCTTGTTCTTCATCCTTCCGGGTTACCCTACCTACGGATAGGTACCGGGTGTTTTCATTGACTTTGAACCTACATGCGTTCTGCCGTGGCCGTTCCGTCTGCCCCTCTCAAGACAAGCAGAAATACCTACCTACAAGTGTGATTATTATTATATCCGACTTTCACACTCTTGTAAGGGGAATTGGCCCCCTTCCTTGGCTCTAAAAGACGCACAACTCTTACCACCAAAGACCCTGTGCCTTACTTCACCGTCCTAGCCCGGCTCACGGCAACACGGCCAGCCACTTGGGCCCGTCTTGCGAGGCTAAGCTTCGTCCCGTGGCACAGGGCGGATCTCAGACAGGACTGGGAAAGAGGGAAAGAAAAAAAAAATCATTCCATTTAAAACCAGGCGCGTCACTAGAACAGGAAACGCCTAGGATCTTTCACGACTCACGACTTGAGCCCCATTGTAAAGGGAAGGGGAGAGAGAAAGAAAAAAAAAATTCGGGCTCCGCTCAAGTTCCTTTGGCAAAGTACCGGTACCTGGCTTGAGTACCAGCGAAGGATAGGACCCAGCAGCCGCCCATCCATAGTCCCAGTCCCGGTTACCCAGTCCCAGTCCAAGTCCACACCACGCATGCACAGGCAATAGACTTGCAGGCCCCCGAATGACCCAGCCGAGCAAAAGCGGGCTGTCTGGTCTGTTTGTCTGTGGTGAACAACGTCCAGCAACTACGTACCTGGCGTAGTGTATGTACCTACTGGACCTACTACTGTTAGCCAGCCCAGCTCCGAGACTGGAAAAAAAGACGACGAAGAAAAAAAAAATTAAAGAGCTTTTAGCAGTGGCTCTCCACACAACGGCAAACGCAAGGGGAGAAAAAAAAACATTCTCCTCCTGGTAAACGAAGTTCCTAAGGTCTCTGGGTTCCCAAGGCGGCCCGAACAGCAAAAAAGCAGCTTGTCACAGAGAGGAAACGAACCCTCATCAAAGTCGTCTGTTGATCTGACCATTTGCTCCATTGACCCCATCTGTCGTGGTTTTTCCTCTACCAAAGAAAATCTTCCTTCATCGTCGGGAACTGCATGTGCCTCTTTTCAACCTGAGAACTTCCCTACTCCAGACTTGGAAAGCACACCATCTGCCCTCCAAAACCACCTTTCCACTCAACTTTTAACAAACAATTACATAAAAAGCCCTTAGTCGTTTCTTCCTCTTACCATACACTCACTTGTCATCACTTATCTCGCACCCGTCTTTGAACACCAAACGTCCCCTTACTACTACGTACTACCTACCTAACAACTCCCCCTGGAGCCGCTTGGATCATCCCATCCTTATCTCCAGAAAGGAAGAGAGACAGACAGATCAGTTCAGCCTGACTGCCCGCCCGCCTGTTCCACGTCGTTGGATCTCCGGTTTCCCCAGATTATGTACTGATTAGCTTTGCATACCCGCGCTTGGAAAAGTCTGCCGAGACAAGGACGCTTGTTGTTTCCGGGTTTCTAATTGTGGTGGTGTTGGCTCGCCTCTAGGTGTGATCGTTGTTGGTGTTGTATACTGTCACGCCATCGCCGGGACCAGAAACCACTTACACAATCAAAACTCACCACCCGGGTTTTGACAAACAGTCAACCCCCCCAGCTTGCCCATTACACAAAACATACCCGTGCTGAGCTATCTGATCAACCCGCGAGAGGCGTTTGCCGCCCACATAACCGGCAATCGTCTCCTTAGTCGAGACTGTCATGTCTGACAATATGTCTATCGATCATAAAGACCCGTCCAAGGAAAACACTCCTGCTGACTCCAAGGCCTCGACTCCTGACCACGAGCAGAGTCCTTCTACTGCCCCAGAAGCTCAGCCAGCGAAGCGTAAGGGTGGTCGAAAGCCTGTAAGTCACATCAAGGCACTCATGAATGCACCTTGTTATATACTTTTCTTCTTCTTTTTTTCTTGTTACTTCCTTCTCTTTGTGACGATGGAAATAGTCGTGTGCAAACCAATACTGACAGTACACTATAGATCTATGCAACCTCGGAAGAAAGAAAGCAGAGGAACCGCCAGGCACAGGCTGCTTTCCGGGAGCGTCGCACAGAGTACATCAAGCAGCTGGAAGAGACGATTAGAGTCCATGAGTCTAACCTCTCCAACCTTCAGGCGGCTCATAGAAGTGCTGCCGACGAATGCTTGATGCTGCGCTACAAAAACTCCCTGTTGGAGCGTATCCTCCTTGAGAAAGGAATCGATGTCCAGGCCGAGCTTCAGGCCAAGACTGGCAGCCCTAACCTTGGACCAACACACATGCCTCAAAACATGGTTCAACCTCCTCCTATTCAGCGTGCTATCCTCAACCGACACCACTCGCGCAGGTCGGCTTCAAGCATAGCGCCCAAGCTCGAACCTGGCGCAGGATCTCTGCCGCAGCCTATGCATGGAATGCAAAGTGTTGCCTCCCCCTCCTCGAGACCAACGCCTCCTTCCCATGCCGCTTCTCCAACCGGCGCAACTCCCGGCTTTGGGGGTTCGGCCGTATCTCCAAAGACCAATGAGCCTCCAAACATGAGACCATCAATGCCAGCACCAATGCGACAGCTACCACCGATGCAGGGCCCCGTTGCAGCAGCAGCAGCACGACAACAGATGATGCAGCATGGAAATGGTGTTGGCGCCCGGCCTGGAGGTTTCTACTCGGCCCCCAACTTCCAAAATCACATCAAACAACTCGGCAAGCTGACCCGTTCCATTATACGATAGACCTTTGGCGTCCTAGGCTTACCATGTGAGTACAGAGCAGGAGTACGATGCTCCTAACGACATGATCGACGACGTCGAGCCCGACAACTCGGGCCCCGGTCCCTACCCGAGCCAGTTCAACGGCAATCAACCACCGCAGCACCAGCAGCAACAACAGCAACAGCATCAGCACCCAGCCCAGCAGCAGCAACACCAGCAGCAACAGCCGCAGCACGGCATGTCTCTGCCGCCGGCCGCGAGTGGCATTTCGGCACAACAGAACGCAACCGATGGACACGACTCGACGCAGACAACTGGCCAAGGATATCCTTCTATGACGGCACTTCTCGATCCTGCCCTGGACTGGGACCCCTTTGGACTGAGTGCCTCGATGGCTTTCCCTTCTCAATTCTCCTTCGACACCAGCAGCATGCGATAAGTGCGAGTCTGTAGCGAAGAGTGGACTACAGGAAGACCCAGATCATGCTCAGAGACCGTCCCCTGCAGTCTACTCTAGATTGACAGTTAGGGCCGAGCCCGCGGTTTCTGGTCTCTGGTTTCGATCCTGTTCGGGCACAACAGAAAAACGAAAAGGCTATAATCGAGAACCCCCGACACCACCCTTTTCGATTCAAGGAATTCGACAGATCGGTGAAAGCAGAAACTTGGGCAGGAAAAAGAACTATGGGGAAGGAAAGGAAAAACAAAAAAAGTCATGACTTGTATGTGTATGGGGCAAATGACGTTTCGAAGCATTCAGCGCCGTTCGACGAGGACCAACAAAAAAAGTTATCGAGGCATTATACCCCATCAGCAGACCGGCAATTCACGTCGCGAAGCATCAACGGCGTTAGAGGAAACGGAAATCACACAAAAAGCAAAAAGAACCGGGTTTGGATTTATCACAATTTTTTTCTTGTTATTTTCCGGCAACGACAGCGATCGAATCAACCAATCCCTGAACAGTGAGAGTGGTCATCTGGGAGTTCAGGCCCGAGCATGAAGCATTATTTGCGGCATGGCGATATTTCTTGTCAGTCGAAACACAGGATCAATCTGTCGCGCACAATTGGTACTGCTGGTGCATCAAGCACTTGAAGACTCGACACTTCATTTCGTGCGTATATCTTTATTTCTGGTCTTGTATTGGAAGGAAGCTCCTCTTCAGCGGACTTCTTCTCTGTACATATTCACGCATTTACAGATCTTGCCAATAAGATATCATGGACTGTTGTTTGGCACTGTTTTTATTTTTTCTATTCTATCATGACCTTGTTCTTTTTTTACTCACTTTGGTGGCATATGGCCACGCAGCATTGCGTGAAGGGAAAGATGGATAGCGTCGGCGTTGGCGGCGGACGAGTGTGTGAAGCCGTCATCTATTTGTGTCTCCGTAGATGCCGTTCTGGTCGTCTGCTGGCTTGTACTACCCGGTCTGCGACCCATTGCTGTTTGGCCAGACCGGTGCAAAGCGAGCGGGATTTGAGGGGTATTCCACGCAGTGATCCAAACTCGGTCAACTGAACCAAATGTATATATACCTTCTGACGTAGAATCACATATTCGAAATCCAGTTTCACAATTGAAAAAGGAAAGACGATTCGAGGCCTCTCATGCAGGCTGAGGGCTGCGAGAATCGTGCATCTCCGAGGAAGCAGGTGTCTTGCCCGCTCTCTTACCCCGCGTAATTCAATAAAAAAAGAGACTGGAAGCGGCTGACACGATGTGTTCCCTCACCTTGCAGCTTTCTTCTGTCTTTGCTGCATATGCCTAGGTATGCAACACGAGAAGAGAGCTTACCCTGTTTGTCTCTGGGCTTGTCTGTCCGACTTTACCCCAACGATGAGCGGCCCCGTGACAGGACGAATAGGTTACAAACCCCGAACTTCATACTCCGAATTCGTGAGACCTTACCCAAACTTGGCGTGTATTGTTCTTGCATTTGCACACAGTTCACTGCCTCCTCGACACAGAACACTTTGACGGTGGCCATGTCCGAGGCAGACGCGTATATACGCGCGTGTGTGTCCATGATAATTGCGCACTCGACAGGGTTCCAGACACGGAATCGCGACCGCAGTGGAAACAGTGTTTCCTCTCTTTTCTTGCGAGAGTGGCTTGTGGATACCTCGTTTGTATCTGCAGTCCTTGGCAGTATCTCTCCTCCTGCAAGCAAGAGTCCGCCTCATAAAAATGGTTCCTCCCGAGGCTAGAGGGCTTTTTAATCATGATTTTCGTCGCTTCTTCGGAGATTCCTAATTTATCGATAACCTGGGCCTATGCCATTGTTGGACTCGGTGGCACCAGGGTATAAGCTTCGTTTGCAGTGAGGGGTTCCCGGCCCATCCATCGATCTCCGTGCGCGTGGATCCTACGTTTGACCGACACCGACACCGACACTGCCGTTCATCGTGTTGTTTCGCTCAGTGGCGTGTGCGAGCTTCAGTCCTGCCTCCCGTATCTCCATCATCAAAAGAGAACCATCAATCATGGCGACGACATATTCTCGGTCGGATGAAGATACGGGCCTGTATGCGCAAAGACTTCTTGATGGCAGCTGTAGGAGCCTGGTCAGTGTTGGGATTCCCCTCCTTAGCCAATGGAGCCCATGACGGCCCGCCATAATAGGCAAGTGCTGGCGACTAGTGTTGGTCTGTTGCTTTGATCGTGAGAAGCAGAGAATTCGTCGCGGGTTCCACTTCTAGGCCATGAAATGTATCTGTACCTGGGATTGCTCCAGGGCGAGTATACATACCTACCTGGCCCTTTAGTGGGTAAGAGAGAGGGGCACTGCGCGAGTTGGTGCGGCACTAAGAAAATGCTTTTAGCAGAAGCAGCTCCATCCAAGCAATAAACCCACGAGTGGGTGGGAACAAGTCCTGCTGGACTTCCAAGGCTCTCATTTTTGTTGTAACCTGTTGATGTTCAGATTTATCCATCTCGCCAAGCTCGCGACAGCCTCGGTACTCGTTGGACATACCAATCCGATGCGTCTGCCCAGAAGTGCGCATGTATTTGCTGCAAGTCCAGATGTCGAATAGTCGCTGTACGCAGTGATGAAGCCAATCTCCAAATTGACATACACAAGTACCAATTTGGCATCGAACTTTGCTGGCATAGATAGTTGGAGTTGGCGACCATCGTGACCCTCCATCCATCCCCCGTCGTTCTCGTAGTAGCAAACCCAATAGTTCGTGATTCTCGTGGCTCCGACCTTCTCACCGCCTACACCCACAAGGCGTTGAGGCCACGCTGGCCATTGTGATGCGTGTCGAACATCATAATGTCGATAGGTCATATGGTCGAAGTTGACTTGGCCAATGCCTTGACTTCTTTCTTTCCAAGCCCAGTCAGTCCAGCACCGCCAGCTGACGTGAATTCGAGCGCGGCCATCTCAGATACCCAATGGCGAAACAGCCGTGATGCGTCGTTTTCTGAGAAGTCATTTCCGACAAACATTGGTAGATCATGTCCTCTCGTTTCAGCAATTACACTTCGCATCCATGCCAGAGTGACTTGTTCTGGATAGTTGCATCGTGGAAGAAATAATATTGACGAGAAGTCGACGAGGTTATAATACTCTGCGGAAGCTTGCTGAGCTTGACCAAGTACAGGTACAGCCACGAATTATTCGCAACACAGCACTGAAAGATCACTTGAGCTCGGAATGCACCTCATACACGTTTGTCATCAACGTGATAGCTTGTATCTTCTCTTGGAAAGAGGCAATGGATAGAAAACATCGTTCACGCAAGTAGATGCACATGTATGAGGTGCCCAGACAGGATGTACAAGAGTAGTCGGGAGCTCACTTGAGCCACGAAACCGACCAACCAGCTTTGCAACTAAAGAGAAAAGGAAAATGAGAAGAGGGAAAAATCCGAGTTTCTAGAAGTCAGTTTGGCCCCGGGGCCGCAAACATCAACTGAGTTTCTATATATGACAAAAAGTAGAATCGAAAATGGTCGAGAAACGGAGATGTGCGAAAATGGGGTTGGCTTTATGTTATCGCGGACAGTCCCGCGGCGAACAGGTAGATAGGTAGGCGAGGAATGGGAGGGAGCCGGGCGGCAGAGTGTTTCCCGATGGTTATATACTACTACGAGCAATTGATTTTTCCAATCCATTTGCTCATCGGTTCTTTGCCTGGCTCCAGACTCTCCGATAGGTATTTTGGCACACTTTTTTTTCTCCCCCCCCTTATCTCCCAGGGCGGCATGTGTTGTCGTTTCCTAACGGCAATCGATTGAATCGAAGGGGGTCAGTCGGCAGCATGGAGGCAGTCCCCCGGGGGTGGGCAGGCAGTGGAAGATAAGGCCTTTTCTTCTCACAAAAGGGACCAGAAGCGATTATTAATAAGAGAATGAAACAATCCCGCGGGATACTCTTTCTTCTACCTAATTAATCCGTATCAGTCTGTCTCTCCCCTGGTGAATTCCTTTTCTATTTTCTATCTTTTCTTTTTGCCTGTTTTGCGAAATCTCCCCCCCCACGGACGCTCTTTCTCTTGGCTTGCTTCAGTCAGATGGCACCTGCCTGCAGTTTGGGAGTATTGGAGGCTCTCTATAATCCTGGGCCTGATCTTGGCTTGGCGCCTTGTTTCTATTGATAAGCGCATCGATTGCACCATATTGTTTTTTTCTGTGTCTGAGCGAGTCGCACACATTATAGTGGGGGTTCAGCGATTAAATATGAAGAATCTTGACCATCACCTCGGTTGGAATTCAGTTCGTAGTATCAATTTACAACTTGCGAATACAATCTATCAGTCAGAATCACCGTGTCTTGGAAAATGGCCATTACTGGCATGAATTGAAATTAAGTCGCCCAGAAGGCGTCGTCACCATTGATCATGGAAACCTTCTGATGGTACGGGATCAATGATGGACCTGGAGTCGCTGAGCCAACACTCTATCTCTCTCGATGCCCTCCTGGCACCACGAGTGGCTTTCCATTTTGAAGCCTGTTGCACACCTTCCTGGTTCATGTGTTTGTATGCTGCCGATGACATCTACTTATTACTCATTTCCATTCAAGGCATAGGCGATCTACGCTATCTACGTCTTGTCCGCAAACCAAGCATCGAGTCGTGGCCGGGCCCCCGGAGACTGGGGACTCCAGATTTTCGCCGATCTGGGGTAAAGGCTTTTTGGCTAGGGCTGATATGATTACGGAAGAATGTTCTTGACGACTTACATCTCCCTTTGGCATGGCATATGTGTACATCCGAGCTGTCTAAAAACTTTGCTTGGGTGACTGACAAGGAAGCTGCATCAGAGCATGTCAGTATTGAGGCAAGACGAGCATATGTATCCTACTTGATCAGAGTCTATCTCTTGCACAAAATCGAACATGTTGGCGACAAAGCATAAATATGTAATGTAGTACTAATCGTGACAACCCACGGGTGCTAGTCGGGTAACTAGGAAACCACCTGGGCACTGGTGTCAAGGTCTCCCTGCACTTCGGGTCATTAGCTAATGCAATCGGCACATGAGCGTTGCCGGTACACGCGTAAAGTAGTAGGCCATAGCTCCTTGCCGTCAAAGCTGTCCGTCTGTGTAGCATCATCGCCCACTCAGTCGTCCAGGTCAATATAGCTGAACAATCTTGTCGCGACTACTCATTGCCTTGCAGGCAGAACAGTGAATGCAATCATAAAACAATGGGAACAGAGTTCAGTCATTTGGATCGGTGCAGCATGTTCCGGACGGCAGAATGCATGCAATTGGCCCTTTGGGGAGAACTCTCGCAGTGACGAGGCAGCTCGGAATCAAGGTTGGGGAGCTTTTTAGCTTGGGTGCTTGGCTAGAGGAAGCTCAAAAGATAAACCCTAAGGTAGAGGGCACATGATTTTTTGCAGTTTTTGTTCACTAATAAGCGAGATGTGCAAAAAAGAGGGCAGCTAATGCACGGACCACATTGACCACAAGCCGCAAACTGACAGTGAAGGCATTGAACCCCACCCAAGCAACCAGCCACCAAACAGCAGCTTGAACACCTGTAGCAGGGCACCAAAGCACCTTTTTGCAGTGGAAGCAAAGACCCAACACTGGGGACGGGAGACGGAACAAGGAAGAGAAAAAAAAAAAATAGCGAGCCCACACACATTGAGCTGATTACAACTGGGTTTTGCGCAGCCGAAATTTTTCCATTTCCCACCCTCATCCTACCCAATCCCGCCGCGGCGTCGACGATTTCACTACCACGAGGGTATGACCAGCTGAGGCCGTATCCTTTCCACAGCCGACCATCAATCCTTCATTGACCGATCGTTATCCTTCATAGCTACGCCTTGCTGAAAGGCGAATAACATCGGCGCCACAATGTCGGTCGCCTCCAAGGTACGTTTTGTGTGATCCTGTCGTCGTTGTCTTCCCACACCTTCTCCCACCAGCTTCGTGCGGTTGCGTATGTGTCCGGGTGTGCGTAATGTGCGTTTTGTGTGTCGACAAATATCAACCACACGAGGGCATATTCCCGTACAGCTTAGGTCCTTGCCCGCATCGCTGACCATCAATCCTTCCTACGACAAACATGTCATTGTCCCAATGGGTTCTTGTTTCTACAGTAGAAAGCCGTCATCATAGCTCATCCCCAATTCCCCTCGCACCTCTGCCGTTAACACATGGCTAACAATTGTGGTTTAGAACCTGTTTGACCTCCTCGGTATGATACTCCACTCGAGCAAAGCTAGACAAGGACGCGAGACGACTCGCCGCTCCCAAGATGATTGGAACTTTGGCTAACCGGAAGCCGCTGCTACAGGCAATGACATCGAGGATGGCGAAGCCAACAAGGGTCCCGTGAAGACAGTCGACAAGATTGCTCCTCGCACCACCAAGCGCGACGTCGAGCCCGTGGCCCCGTCGAAGCCTGCTTCCGCCAACACCGGACGCCGTGGACCTGGAGGCAACGAGGGAGGTTCGTACATTGCCTCTCTAACATGCCATCAACGAACGTAGACAAGCTAACACCACTGAAGCTTTCCGTGATAGAAACGCTGGCCACTCTGCCAACCAGCGAAGAACCACCGACGAGGCTCCTCGTGGCGGTTCCCGTGGCGGCCGTGGTGCCCGTCAACGTGGTGGTATGTATTCATCTACTTGCGGGAATTTCTGCGCGAGATCCCTCAATCAGCTATAGCAATCACTAACTTTTTGAATTCTAGGCCGTGGTGGTGGCTACCCCCGCGATCGCGATGACCGTCACACTAAGGGTCTGGCCAGGTAAATTTCCGAATATGCCCGCGTTCATGGTGACAAAGTGCTGACTGGCTTATTTTGTAGCGGTTCCGAGAAGCAGGCTGCCCAGTCTTGGGGCGCCCAGGAGGGTGCTGCCGAGCAGAAGGACGAGCAGGCTGGCGAGGAGATTGCTCAGACCGAGCTGAAGGAGGCTATTGCCGAGGACGGTGAGGGTATCGAGAACCCCGCCGAGCCGGAGAACAAGAACATCTCCTACGAGGACTACCTCGCTCAGCAGGCTGAGAAGAAGCTTGCCCTCGGTGGCTCCCTCAACGTCCGCAAGGCCAACGAGGGCTCCAAGACCGACAAGAAGTGGTCCGCTGCCAAGGAGCTCGTCAAGGACGAGAGCGAGGACTTCATCGCTGCCAGCGCCGGCAAGACCAAGCGCGAGCGTGAGCGCAAGCAGAAGGCTGTTGTCGACATCGACCACTCCTTCGTTGAGCAGGACCGTCCCCGTGGCGGTGCCCGTGGTGGACGTGGTGGCCCCCGTGGTGGCCGTGGTGAGGGTCGTGGACGCGGTGAGGGCCGTGGCCGTGGCGCTCCCCGTGGTGGCCGCAGCGAGAACCCTGCCGTCAACCCCAGCGATAAGAACGCTTTCCCCAGCCTCGGCGCATAAGCGGTTGAACACAAGGTCTTCCACCAAGAGCTGGACGTCAGATATCACTGCGCTTCTCAGCCTCTACAAGCGATACTTGGGGATGTTGGGCTCGAACATCCGTACAAATCACCCAGTCATCGAAAACAGTAGTTTGTGGTGATGCCATGCATTGCCTTACCGAGCAAATACCAAAATGAGAAAATAAAAGTTTCCTTATCACCAAACTTGAGTCCGGTGTGGAAAATGGTTGGCCCAGCAAGGAGTCCATTCTGTTCGCATTGTAAGGTTAGATTTGGTCGTCAATTGATTTGTACTCTTCATTGTCTCGTTTGCTATATATCACTCGGACGGTGATCTAACACTTGTATGCAAGATTGCGCTGGTCACTCAAATGATACCAGGAAGGCCAAGAGTGCCGTCTTGAACCTCAGTTGGGACTTGTGCCGATACTGGGATTGAATGCGCTAGGGTTTGAGTCCGAGTACGATGCCCGCTTCCGACAAAGGGTAGATCATGACACCGGCCTCTTGTGAGCAGTTGTTCTTGTCAGGACTAAAGCAATGTCAGGAGTAAGGCGACTGAATTATCTAACAGATGTCTAGTAATTTCTCCATGGTATTGTTTCGTATAAGAACACTTTATTGAGCTACCTATCTTTGCCAGAGCCTGCCATCACAACCGACCGACGGTCTATAGTCTACCACACCATGTGTCGCTCTATTCATCGATGCCTACTTCTTTTGGAACAATCAGAGCACGGCAATTTTCTCGAGGGACTATACAGGAGGTGACAGCCCGTCCATTAATTTGACATTTTGGATCATAACCGAGACTGTTTTAAATGCAGGTCACTGACTTACCTGCGGGAACTGTTGAGCATTGACATGCCAGTTGTGGAAAAGAGCCAATTGGTTTCTCTATTTGCTCCTATGGACGTTGGACAAGAACTTCCTGAACAAAAGAAAAACGTGCTTGTTTCTTTTTTTTCCGTTGTTTGACTGTCCTGTAGTAAGGCCTTGTTAGGACCAGAACAATGGAAATATGTTCTGTTTCGTTGTCTTGCCGTCAAGACATGGAATACGCTCTTGTATAAATACTCCCAGAATAGCCCCCGACAATTGCTACAACTAGACCAGAGAATCGCAAAACAGACAACCCGAGGAGAATATATATACTGACTAAAACAAATTATAACAAGAAGCTAGTCTTCTCGAGTCACGGCTATATCTGCGAGGTCAGGTGGAACGATAATCCTTCCTCAGCCCTTTAGCAGACCACTGAATCCATGAAGGGCAAAGGAGTAGGTAAGGGATTAACAACACGGGATTAAGGAAGGAAGAGATACAAAAAAAAAANAAAAAAAAAATACAGCATGAAGTTTGAGACTCGTACCACCCAACAGGCCGCCTCGGCTACATCCTCATCTCATCCTCGCCAACCTCCTAGACCCAGCCTCAACCGCGAGAACGCGAGCCTCGAGTCTTGCACCTCGCCCGCCCCAAACTATCCGCACAAGACCCGCGCCCGCGCCGGCAACATCATTATCGCCTGCCCATGCCGGGATGCAACGGTAAGCCGTACCATGAACAGCAGCAGCAGCAGCAGCAAGAATAATGACGATCAAGAAGATACCAACGTCGTCGTGACATGTTCCACTGCCGCGGGCTACATGGCTGCTGCCGCCGCCGCCACCGCCGCCGCCGCCACGCAGGAGCAAGTATCAGAGGGTAGCAAGCAACTGGTCGACGACGACAATGACGAAAAGGGCCACGATGCTGATGACGAATGGGCCGACGAGTCGTTTGATTCTGATGCTGTACCTATCCGACTTGGTTCGCGGCTGCGGGCAGGTAGTTGGAGGGGTGATAACTTTGTACGTCCTTGAGAGTGACTGTGGAAATACTCCAATACAGGGCTCGGAGAAGGTAAGTAGACCACTATTCGGATATTGAGATACGTTGAGTTGGTACTGGACAACAAATAGATGACGTCCTGCTGGTTAGTAGCCCCCTGAAAAGTCTTTACGGAAATAGTCCTCGAAATGACGTGCCAGATCGGAAATACGATGTACGGGTTTCTGAAATTTACATAGAATGACCAGAGAGTTCAATCGCAGCACTTGTCACGAGAGGAGTTTGCATGCACTGTTTCATATATATGCCTGGGAGTTGTTTGGTCACCAGATTGATAGCTGCGTTCCAAATCATGAGAATGAATCTTAAAAAGCTGGTTTTGTTCCAGCTCGCATATATACCGCGAGGCCAGTTAGCTGGCCTCCTATAATGCGATCATCTCTCAAACAAGTTGCTTCCCTTATGCATGGCAGAAAGCAAATGGGTATCGTTCTTGCAAGCATCCGTACACCTGAATCGTCATGAATTCCTTCTTTCTTTCCTTTGTGTCTGTGTCTGTCTCTTTTAGTTTCTCAAATCATAAAAACGCCAAAGCCATGCTGGGTGTGTGCTCCTTGCAAATGTGTAAAAAGAAAAAACGCCAATCGTACTCCTTCTCAAATCTGTCTCAAAGCAGGGTCCAGAAGACCACCAAGGTCGTTGGGTCCAATCAATTGGCGCATTTCTGCCTCGTCATGTCGCCATTCCTCGGCCTCGGGAAAGTAGTTCTGACCGTGAGGTGTTGCGGGGTGAGAGTAACCCCAGTGTTCATCTAGACCCGGTGTGACCGGGTTACTAGTGAACGGAGAGGGAATCTCGAATCCCATCAAGTTGGGGTCAGGGATGCTACTCATACTAAAGTCCTGCTCGAGCGTGTCTGACATATTGATGTCAAAATGGGTGTGCAGATGACTCTGCATTTCAGCTTGCTGGGCAAACTTCAGAGAACAACCCAGCCAAGAGCATGAAATGGTGCGTCGAGCCGTTTCGCTAGTGCTGGTAAGCTGGCCAAGCATATCCCGAGGCATCTGCATATCTTGACGGATGGGCATCTCTGCACGTGGAGGAAGGGGACGCGGAATGTCCATGTGAACATGACGAATGTGCTTCTCCAGACTGGCCTTTGTAGCAAAGCCACCTCCGCATCCGTCGCTCAAAGGCCAGCTGCTCAAGTCCTTGGCGCTGCTGACATCAAATTGGCCACAGACGTAGCGAACACCGTCATGGAAGCTCCTGATGTGAGCCTGGAGATTAGACTGCTTGCTGAAGACCTTGCCGCAGCCCTCGCGAGTACAGACGACAGACTTGCGAACTTCTTGAAGGTTGCTGGCGTGTTCGAGTTCCGTGTGTGTCTCCATGGCATCTCTAGTGGGGAAGATCTGATCGCAGAAAGTGCAGCTGATATGGGCCTTCTTCATGTGGTGTTGCAGCTGGTCCATGGTCGAAAAGCCCACGCGATCCGAGGCACCGTCCTTGAGGCCCTTGTTGCACTCTTCGCACCAGAACTTGATATCTGCATGCTCCTTCTCGACGTGGCGTCTTAGGGAAGAGGCAGTGTCGAAGCCGGCATCGCAGCCTTCGTGTTTACACTGGAAAGCAGGCATCTTGAGATGCTCGGCACGAATGTGGCGCTGTAGGGTTTGGTGCTTGCGAAAGGACTGGTTGCAAGGAGGAAAGTCTCGGCAACGAAAGCGTTCCTGTCCCTCATGGACAAGTTGGTGGCGGCGAAGACGAGTGCTAGTCAAAAAGCTCTTTCCACAGCCGGGCTCCTGGCAAGTGTGCTTTCGCTCGGTAGAATGGGATCCTCCGAGATGCTGCTTCAAGTGCTTCTCTTCGAGGTACGACTTGTCGCAACCATCGTGAGGGCACTTGAAAGGTCGCTCATTGGTGTGGGACCGCAGGTGAGCAGTCAAACGAGCGGGACGGTTGAAGGCCTTCTCACAGCCGGGCCAAGTGCATCTGATCGTCTTGAGATCAGAGGGGAACTTCTTGCGAGGCGATGGTGCTGATGTCGGAGTCACGGTAGTAGCAATGGTATCGGGCGTCGAGGCACTGTTGAGATCATCGTCATGGTCGGAGAAGTCGGAGTCCCTGGCATCATCGCCGTCGTCGAAATCGGGATAGGCGTCTGACAGCAACAACAAGTTAGCTCAGGGAGAGGGAGAGAAATCTAGGAGCAGGTCGTAGCAACTGACCATTTGCCAATTGAACATTGGTCGAGGTTCCAGCGGCAAGTCGCCGACTTCTCTTAGGCAAGCCGAACTCCTCGTCGTCGTCGTGAGTCTTGCGCTTCATGGTGTCGATTGTGAGTTTGGGTATCTGAGTAGCCATTCATGCCGTGGAAACCGGACAGCCAGAAAGCTTGTCTGACATAAGAGGCCTTAACCTTGGAGAGCGGCGCAGAGCTAGATAAAGTCAATCCGGTAATGGACGCTGTGCATGATGCGACCGACAGAAGACGACCAGGAAAGACGAGCGAATGCTGCTGCGATGGCGTCGAACAATTGTTGCAGAGCGACCTTTTTTTCGAGAAGAAGAAAAAAGGACCCTTGTGCTAAAATCGTGAATTTGGGTCTCGGCTGTTGGATTGAAAATTGATTTTGACGCGCTACTTCCAAAATTTTAGCGGAGTGCCGGCCCTCTATCGGGACCACCAGCTTTATCGCGCCAATCAAAGAAACGGCGATCCACTTATCTCTCCACCATCCCGCATTGGAGCCTCGAAGGCCTTTTCCGTCCACCCTTTCCTTTCAGCCTTGCATATGAAATTTTGCATTCCACTGTCACAAGTCCAGCTGCCCATTGAGTTGCGATCCCGCCCACACACCAAACAAACACACCACTCTCGAGCTCCATTTCTTTTTTTGAACAAACACTTACTTGCCCAACATGTCTGACTACGGTGGCGATGACGATGGCAGAGATGACGATGTCGGCGGGTATGTTTGCTGCCGCGTTTTCTTCTTTCCAAAGCAATCTAGCGCGCGCGCGCGCGCCTTGATCACCGCTAACCGGATCGCGATAGTGACGAGCCCATGTTCGAGGACGAGGAGGATGTTGTCGACGACTTTGATGACGAGGTGCCCGAGGAAGATGAATATGGCAAGACTCGCGCAGCCGATGAAGAAGAGAACAATGTTGTAGTCTCGGGAGACCCTTCGGCACAGGCAAACCGGGCAAAAGCGGGCGAGAAGTCGCACAAGGACAAGAAGATTCCAAACGAGGAGCGATCAACAACACCATACATGACAAAGTACGAGAAGGCTAGAATCCTGGGCACACGCGCTCTACAGATCAGTATGAATGCACCCGTGTTGGTCGACCTCGAGGGCGAGACGGATCCCCTGCAGATTGCCATCAAGGAGCTGCGGGAGAAGAAGATTCCCTTGATCGTCCGCCGTTACATGCCCGACGGATAGTGCGTATAACGTTCCTGATGCTCAGCTGCGTTGAGACTAACCATGTGACTACAGCTACGAGGACTGGACCTGCGAAGAGCTGCTGCAATAGAGAATGCAAATACCCAGGATGAGAAAAATATTGGCCGTCACGAGTAAATCGGAGCTGCAACTTACGGGTGGACTGCGGGACTGTTTCCGCAAACCCAAGCCAGCTCTGGGTGAGGCAGGGAATTAGGAATGCATTGAGCGAGGCGTTTGTCAACTTTCTTCTCTGGATCGAGCACACTGCCTGATTTGCTCTCTTGTCACATCAAGGAAGTTCAGTTGTAGGCGCACTTCAAGCTCGGAAAAAAAAAAAAGAAATGCGACCGTGTACCCAAGTCAAGACCAGCCCTACGGGAAGCTGGGGCAGTTTACGATCCGTGGCGCCTGCATAGACCATGTCTTTGAGTCATCTGATCTCACATATTGTATCGGAGGTGCAACATCGGGCATACTAGCACCTGCCACCCTGTTCGGGCATTTTTGGCGAGGATTGCAACCATCCAGACGTTGCGTGTCTGTCTAACCTCTATGGTTAATAATGACATTGAGTGGAGATAGACAAATAGCTCACTAGACAAGCTTTCACGAGCATAATGTTATGAGTTTTACTTGCTTTGTAAATTTTGGCCTGGTCAGTGTGTGTTCGTAGTTGTCTTACCCATCCAAGAATACATCAAAACATCGGGTTCTCAGTAATCTTGACGGCTGAAAACTATGTAGTCGTACCCTCTGTGGTGAAATATGGGCGTACAATGTTTGTACATCTACTAAGCAATCATGCCAGCCATAGGCGAGCGGATGAACCAGCTGAAGAGACTGGCGGTAGTATAAGTCGGGTAAGCGTTAGCACAACGGGTGCAAACAATGTCCCGAATATGGCTGTTGGATATTCTCGAATGACCCTGTATTGCAAGTCCTAGTGGATCTAAAAGCTTACATTCTGCAGATCTTGATCAGGCTGTATAATTCGCATTGTAAAATCTATGCAGCTGGTAGCATTGAGCTATCTTACAAGAGTACCTAGGTACATATTGTACAGAGTACCGAAGACTGAGACCATGTTGGCTCCACTCTTGAGGGCCACCAGACGTCCAGGGGATCGACGTACGCCAAGGCTCTACTCTAATTCTTAAATGCTGAAATCCGCCCTGTATTGGCTCTCTTCTCAGTTGGGGTCCCATATTACCGACTCCTCCTGTGAGACCTAGAAAGCCGCTTCCGCGTTCCGCACAACTCACCTACAGTATCTATCTATCTCATCTCGGATCGTAAGTTGGCCTACAGGCATGGACGCTGGATTTTGCTACAGTCGCGCAACACCATGACGTCGTGGTTATGCTTAAAACAGCGACATAACAAAGCCCGTAGTGAAGTCACAGATGAGTTGCTCCATTCAGTAATCAAAGCGCACACCCAAAGGTATCATACTATCAGGGCAGTTGCGCTCGGTGGGTGGTAGCAATGACGGGCTTGACATGCCTCAGCTGGACTCGAAGGAAGAGGGAGAGAAGAGGGAGGCACAAAGCGTGCAGTATAGAATGCAGTGTGATGAACACGAGATTTTACTTCAGCGATAGCAACAGGATCTGTGGACAACCGACCAATAAGAGCTGCACCTTGAGAAAAACCGTTTGCTTTGCAGCATGGTTGCAAAAAAAGGACCAGGGGCCACTTGCAGCATGTATATGCAGCTGCCCGCCTCCCTCGATATTTGTTGTTTGTTCCTATTCGTCGTGGTCGGTGAATTACCTGTCAACTACCTAGAAAGTGTGGTTGGGATCGTGTTGACCCTGGATGGTGCCATTTTTTTTTTCTCTCTTTAAATCTTAGCTTACCATTAGAAGGTCTGCCCTGTCATACTGGACGTATGTGAATTATGTATACGATGTAATTGACATTGCGCTGACCGGCTCGCTTGTGGCTGCTCTTGTCAGAAATCCTACTAATGGAACGGATCCTAGCTAGGCAAACAAAACAAAAAAGTCCAAACTTGTCCCTCGAAACGAGACTGGTCGGGGCGTTCTAGGACCATCCAGGTGGTGGTAGTTCGTATAATCTACATCCATCTCAGCACAGTCCAGCTTACCTAGCAGGAGACTTGACGTTGCTGATCTCCATCAGAAGTTGCCGGTTAGCCTTTTACCTAGGCAGGCAAGCAAGCAAAGGGCGGGTGCGATACAAATAGAATCGCATTCCACAAGTCCAGAAACTGTGTTCTAGATATTGCTTCTTTTTTTTTCTCCCCTTTGCTCACATCTCATCGTCCGACTGTCACGAGCATCATTCCCCCTTCCTACACGATACGACACGACACACACAAACACGACATCTCTCCACGGTAGTACTACATATACGCATTACACACATACAACAACAGCAGATACTATGCAGCTCTCGACGATAATTGCCAGCGTCCTGGCTTCGGCAGCCTCCATCACGGCAGCTCCGACTGCTGAAATCGCAAAGAGGGAGGCTGGTGGTGTAAGTCTATTGCTGTCTACTTTACCTATCTGCCGACAGGCATTTTTTCTGTCCAGATAGTCTTTTGGGGCGCGCGCAATTGCTGATCCTCTCCACAGGTGCTCATCTGCCAAGGTGCCAATGCTACTGGCAACTGCCACTATGAGGTGTACACCATGCAAGAGTGCCACGATCTCCCGGCAAATCTACAGCGCAACGCATCAACTTTTGCCCCCGATGGTGACAATTTCTACTGTTACCCCAGAGCGTTAAGTTTTTTTTTTTTTTTTTTTTTTTCTATAATAAACTATTTCTACGGCAGGCTTTGGTCGGAACCGCCGAATCCTGCCTGGGGAGTCGAGTTTCAGAGGCTGGGCTGCCAATCAACTCGTGTGAATCAGACTAGAGCAACAGGACATCTCTCGCTGACACAAGTGCAAAACGATTTAGTGGAAACTGTTCGCAAATCTGCACTTCACCGACGGGCTGTACTTTTGGTGCAGTCTCTTTCAACAGCCCCGTCAAGTATGACCTGAGCTCGATACAGTGGGACAACTTGATTGGAGCCTTTTCCTGTCACCTCAACGAGACTTCGACATAGACATGGTGGTTCTTTCTAGAACAATGATTGATCTAGATTTCTGGAAACGGTTGGACGCTGTTCCGCTACTGAAAGCGACATGAGAAATGACACATGGAAAAAAAAAAAGGTGTACGGTCTGCTGGTTTCGTTCAGGCGCTCTATAGAAGGACAGGCTGATGTTCTTCAACGCCATCGTCTTGTATCACTTGCAAGGAAGCTCGCAAGAGACTCAACTTGCACTAATGTAATTAATAAAAGGGTATTGACACTACAAAAGTGCACTACGTATACAATTCCAAAAGAAAAACACGAATAGCATGAATGCTGGTGGAGCCCCGGGGGTTCGGCGTTCGGCTTGGCGCACTACAGGTTATGACGCCAGTATCTCGGCGGGGTTTCTCTGGGCAAGCTCTCAGCTCTCAGGCTTAATATCTCCAAGATTGGGAAACTTCTCAGCGGGGTAGCAGCAGCAGCATTGAGCTTCCTGCTCCATCTGCCGGGAGGGGTCCGAATGAATCAACTTCTTTTTAATCAATGGCACTCTTGTAAAAGGCTTGACAGTTTTCATAGTCTAATAGTACTACATTATCTCGAGAGATTGAACTGTGACAACCAATTGGAGCCTTTACTACTTGATAATCCTCGTATCGACAGATCGGAGTCGAATCCGCAGGACATTCATATATACAGACCTCGGAACCGAGTCCGATATCTACCTCTCACTCTACCTAGCTAGGTATACTCAAGCTTTCACTCTTGGGATCACAACTTTTGCATGCTACACAGGATCGCAGCAACACTCACCACGAGACTTCCGAGCTATTCTACTTATCGATTTTTCAGTGTCGTTGCAACAAGACTCAAGATGCCTTTCGAAACCAAGGCCACCATCGCCAGCTGCGGCGGAAAGCTCCTGAAGCTTTCGCACGAGTCCAAGAGCACCAAGACGCCCATGGATGTGAACCTCTATCTGCCGCCAGCTGCCAAGACCCAGAAGGTTCCCCTACTGATCTACCTGTCTGGTTTGACTGTAAGTGACTTTTTTTTTTTCCCGGGTGCCGCTCGATCGAATATTATGCCGTTCATTCGCAGCTCAAGGGTAGCCAAACTCAAGGGCTGGTTCTTGTTGCGGCTGATCGAGCAAACTTGATCGCTTGCCCGTGTACGACGGAATTTCAGTCTGGACCTTGGTCCATGAGAGAGCACCCTTCTCGTCACGATAGTAGCTGACACAATATATCCATTCTAGTGTACACCCCAGAACTGCACCGAAAAGGGCTTCTTCCAGCAGGCCGCCGCCAAGGCCGGCATCGCGGTGCTGTACCCCGACACGTCGCCGCGCGGTGCCAACCTGCCGGGCGAGACGGACGCCTGGGACTTTGGCGCCGGCGCCGGCTTCTACATCAACGCGACACAGGAGCCGTGGTCCGGCCACTACCACATGGAGACGTACGTGCGGGACGAGCTGCCCGAGGCCATCTTTGCAGAGTTTGGTGCGCAGCTCGACAGCAGCCGCGTCTCCATCACCGGCCACAGCATGGGCGGCCACGGCGCCCTGACCCTGTTCCTCAAGAACCCGGGCAAGTACAAGAGCGTCAGCGCCTTTGCGCCCATTTCCAACCCCACCCAATGCCCCTGGGGCGAAAAGGCCTTCTCGGGATACCTGGGCACCGCCGACCGCGAGGGCTGGAAGGCCCACGACGCCACCGAGCTCATCTCGGGCGCCTCGTGGAAGGGCCACGAGATCCCCCTGCTGGTCGACGTCGGCACCGGCGACAACTTTTACAAGCAGGGCCAGCTCCTGCCCGAGAACTTGGAAAAGGCTGCCCGCGATAATGGCATCACCGGCCTCACGGTCCGCTACCAGGATGACTATGATCACTCGTACTTTTTCATCTCGTCATTTGCCGAGGACCATGTCAAGCACGCTGCCAAGTACCTGCTATAGCTGTGTTCTAGATGGGTGTAAATAGTAAATAAAATATTGATAGCTGCAAGCTTTGGATATCGTACACCTTGCCAACATCAGCGTTCCCTGATATTCCTTCTGAAATATCCTCCTGGACCTGCTTCTGCTCTCAAAAACGTGTATCGAAGATATATCAATAAAAACAGCAATATTGTGACAGCCAAAAGGAGATGGTGTCGATACCATGTGCCATGTCCAATTCATTGTGGCGGGATGTTTAATCTTCAACTCGCGCTATGGCATCTCAATATTGTACTCACACGAGGAGACATGATTTTCTTGCAACCTTGTAGCATGCTTCTCTTTTCAACCAACTCGTAGTGACTCGAACATTTGCGCAGGGATATCTAGAAGCAACTTATACAACAAAATCAATCAACCTCTTGCGAGGGAAAAGTCTTCTCAATTGTCCCGCACACACACCCCACGTGGATTTTGGTTTATTGCAACACACTCCTGGTAAATCTCTTTAACTGACTCTCCTGCTTAGCTCGAGGTGGAATCCGTCCTTCTCCAGCTTACTCCGCATCTCAGCCTCAGCGTCTCGCTTGATGCGGTGATAAGCCAACTTTTCGAACCTACTCAGGCCTTTCCACCAATGCTGGCCGGCTTCGTGCTCACTAATCTTCTCAAGGAGATCCGCCGTCTTGACGCGGACGTCCTTGTCTTTGTGGAATAGACCCAATGCCAGGTAGAAAAGCCCAGCATGGGATTCGGGGGCGACTGTGAGCAAGAGACATATCTCGTCATAAGAAAATACATGCTTGGAAAAGGCCAGGTAAATCTCCCGACTCTGGGCAGGGTTGAGCTTCTGCGTACGCAGACGATCATGCATGTGATGGAGGTCAAGACCCTTCAGGGGGCGAATCGTGTAGATCTGAGCAAGGTCCTGTCTCGACTGTTAGTCTTTTGATATGTGATATAGAGAGGTGTGCACATTCGTACCTGAATGAAGCTGTAATAGCTTCGGGTATTCCGCCAGCCCTCTATCCTAGACACATTGCCAGCAAGCTCTCTCTGTTTAGCATTGTCGTCTGCCCACACATAACCGTGCCCGCTGATCCCGATATTGCTAGTGTCTGCATCATCGCCGCCAATGTATAATGCACTTGCGCCGTACACGCTCTCTTCAAAAGCTGCAGCTATTCTCGTAAATTTGACCACCCAATCGCGGAGTTTGGCACGGATTACTCGTTCGCCAAGTCTTGCGGCGATGCCCTTGAGAATATCATTCATAAAGACCACATCTCCGGTCAAGTCAGTACTAGAGCTTGAGCCACTGACGAGATTAGCGTGTGCTGGATGTTGTTGCTGGAAATAGGCCAGGCCTTCAGTGGTGGCAGCTGGTTCGATCTTGCTACTGATCTTGATTCTTCCGCTCGGAATATCGCAAAGAATATCCCACCACTCTGGGTGAAGCTCAAAGGTTGGGTTGGTCACTCCAGCAATAAAGCCTGGGACATTCAGCAAGTCGTCGATTTTGGTCAGATCGGTGTAGGGAAAGGCAAAGCGGGTAAAGCCTCTCAAAACTCCGCCAGATGCCAGAGCACATGCTGCCAAGACCGCTTCTGCAACGTCTCCGGAAGGCATATTGTGGCCAAGGAAGATGATTCGCTTTTGTGTCAGTAGCGCGTTCGCCAGGACTATGATTGGATGTGTGCTGGGTCCATTCGTTGTCAAGTGAGGATGTACCGGGAATGGCTGTGGCGCTTTGGCGTGTGGTTCCGAAAACGTCTGGATCAGTTTGATAATTGAGAAGTCTCCCACCGTCTCTGGCATGACGGCTGTTGGTACCTTGACGGGAATCGGGATTCCCTTGTAAAGCACCTTGCTTTCAAACTCGTGAGTATCTCGCGGCAATGCGTAGCCTGATGATCCTTCCAAGTGAGCCTTGGTGCCCGCGCGAGAGATTCCGTGTAGTTTGGGTGGACTCATGCTTGCGTCGAGTGGCTCAGTGACCGAACCTTCACGATCCTCTGCCATTCGCATCTTAATCATTTGGCCGAACTTTTCGACAAAAAGATCCTTGTTGTCACTGGCCAACAGGAGATTCCGCTCCAGAAGGCTCAGCTTTGGCATGAGCGATAAATCCATGTTGTTGACTGCATCGTAAAGCATGGACAAGGTCTCGGGGACCGGCGATTTGAAGTACTCTTCTAATGCAAGTAGGAGAAGCGGCTGCTCAAAAGTCAGTTATCCTGGTGATGGGATCGAGATCCGATTCGCAGCACTCAACGAACCTTGTATATGTGCAAGAAGGGATGCCGTGTGCATATCGCCATAGCCTTGACTATCGCACCTCTTTTGACGCTCTTGTCGTGTTTTGTATTCACCAGATTTAGGACGTAAACCAATGGAGGGCCCTCGCCGCCTTCTGGCTCTTCATCGCTCGTTTCATCGTCGTCATTCATGTCGTCTTCGTCGTCGTCGTCGATTTCCTCGTCAGCAGAGCTCTCGTCGTTTTCGTCAATTAAGCCTGCCGCGCGATCACGTCTCCGTTTCCTTCTTTCCTTGTTCTCTTTCTTCTTATTTGCTTCCTCCTCCTCTTCCTCCTGTGTACTATCCTTGTGCAGGAAGAAGATGGTCCAGTCCTGGTTGCGCGCATGGGCCTGGTCCGGCAACATGAGCTCTGCTAGCATGTGCTCATCACCGGTGATGGCCACCGGATATTGATGCTCCATGACCGGACCCCGGTCAATGTCGAAAGAGGCGACCAGTATATATTCGACATGATTTGCGGTTGACCCCCGAGGATACTGTGGACGTAATTTCCTGGGCGGATGAGCCTCAGGATTGGTCCGCTTCGGGGGTGCAGAGAGCGACGAGTGCTGCGAAGAAGCCACCGTCCTGCTTCCAATGGACGACGTCTTGTTCGATTTGGAGCTGGGGTCGGATATACGATCGAGGTCAGAGTGGACAGGTGGCTGCGGCGACCTTGAAGGCTGCCTCGAGTGATGCGACATTTGTGAAGGCGATCGTGACGGTGGAAAGGACGACAGTGATGCGCGGGGATTCGCGGGAGCGGCATGGCCGTTCTGTTGTATGGACTGGTTCGTGTTCGTTCGCGACATGAACGGTCGCCCAACTCCCGAGACCGAAGCCATGCTGTGAAAAAGCTGCTCCTACCTATCTATCGGTAGCCCGTCCCGCACAAGACGGTGCTTGCGTCGTGTATTGATACTGTTGTATTGGCGAGTACTCGTACAGGACAGACAGGGAAGCAGCAGCAGCAGATCCTCTGCAGGCTTCGCTACCCAGTGACACCTGACGAGGACTATTTGTCGCTCACTCGCTGGCTTTGGAGATGTAGCAGCTGCACCGACCGTCTTCCCTGTGCAACGGTGATGGCTGCAGCGCGCGGCGTCGTATTCTCTTTGGATTTGGTGGTGTATGGAGTCAAAAGAGACTCAACTGGGGAGGGGGGGAATCTGTGCTGGGGTGTCTAATTAAGACTGACTGGCTGCTGCTGCTACTACCTACTACTGCTACTACTACTACAAGTTGACCCTGGGCCTGGTATCGGAAGTAGGTATGCAGTGTTTTAGGCACTTTGACGGAGTATCCCCATGCCCGCCAAAACCGCCCGGAAGTAAAAGGGGTTCCAACGTTGCAAGGAGATCAGCGTGGTTCGTTCCCAATCGCGGACAGTGAAAGTGGACGTGCGCTCGAAACGGTATTGGTTGCGGCTCTTGCCTGTCACTTTGGGTGTGATCCATCCACTAGAGTCTCCATCACATTACGAAACAATTCCCACCGGTTCAAACATGCGATTGAGGATCCAATGGACGAACTTTGACGAGGACTGGGGTTGAGAGCTGAAGATGAGTCGGCGGTAAAAGAAGATAGCCACTGAGGGGGAGGGCGGCCGAAACGCGAGACACGGTCTGCATCACTACAGAGCACTAAAAAGATTAGGATAAAGCCCGTAAGACAAGGCTCATCTCTCGCATTCTTAAATGTATTCAGCGAGGTACTATATCAACGGGTGACGCCAGTAGCGCCGTCGCCCCTTTCACATGCCGGCAACAACAGCTATCTTGATGCTCTGGTCGTCGTACACGACCATGCTGGTGCTTGAATATAGATTAGGCGAGTATAACAAATATAACGACAGCTGGTATGTGGAAGCTGCTGACGTGCAGTGCCAGGACCCTGAAAATGGGGACCCCTGCTGCCAGTAGTAATTTATAAACCCACCAAGAAAAAAAAAAGAAAATTAGAGCGTTCCTGGCAGTCAAGTCATCTGGTGACAGGTCCAAAGCAGGAGAGAAAACCCAATTTCACATTGGGCCAGTTATTAGCGCAACCCGCTAGAAGAGGATGGAGTGATATCGTGGGTTGTGGATGCCACACCTTTTTTCTGGACTTCTGCAGCCCTTGGGCCAGTCAAGGGCAAACAAAAATCTTGGACATGTTGAGTAGAGCTTTGGAGGCAAGGAGGCATCCCGAGCATCTACACCTCCTCCAGCATTATAAACGTTAGATCGGTACCAAGCCCCATATTTGGATCCAGTGATTTACCACGTACTCTCCCATATATTTTGTGCTGCTCAATACTGGCTGTTATAGAGGTTCTTCGCCCGGTGCCCACACCAGTTGCTAGAAATTTTTATCAGCCGTATCGTACCATAGAAAGGATAAGGGAAGATACCAGACACACCAGAGCAAAGAAATATGGGGCATGTACTGATCTAACGTATATTATGCTGGAGGAGGTGTAGCGATTCATTAGTTTGCCGATTCTACCGAACTACTTGATACACTGCCGACACCAACCTCTGGTTATGGAAGTGGTGAATGTTCCAGAGCATCAGTTTGGTTGGCTGGGTCAATGTATTGGAGGCAATGCAGCCAATTTCGGATAGTCTCTGGAGGCCTAAACATCTGAAGTCAAAATCGTCAAAAACGTCATGGCCTTGATGTCCAACTGAATAAATATCCACAAGCTTTTGAGAAGAAAGGCAATCAATCGAATTGACGTATGAAATAGCATCTGGTGCCCAAAATCAGGTTGAATCCCCATACTATCGACATTCTCCCATTGGAGAGCTGAGCAGCAGTGACGCCCATCATGATGGGGGGGGGGCTGGAGCCAGGTCGCCAGGCGCCCAGCTTCTGGGCCTCGAGTAGTGTCGTGCCAAGCCCACAAGGTTACTTCGATCCCCCGCCATCGAGCCCCAGACGGTCAGTCGTGATCCGTGCCAACCTCGCCCAACCACGAGAGGTGCTGGTTCGTTGTCCGGCCACTGTTTATCTCCTCGCTCGCAGCCTCATGGCATCGCCACAACAAGTAAATACATGCGCAGCTGCAATTCAAGAAAATTTGCTGAGATCATCATCACAGCCATCACACGTCCATGAAAAAGAAAGGACAAGAATTCTTTACTTTGCACAAGATACCCTGTTTGATTGTATTGTCCATTCCAGCAATATTCCCCCGGCGAGCCCGACATCCGTTCGCATTGTTTACTTTTGCAATCAGAGATATTTTAGTTCAAACATCTCAATCCACTCAGCTTACACCATGGTATGACGTCCCATGTGGAGAAAATCAGAGATGAATCAATCGTGCTAACTCTAGACCCTCTCGTACCTTACATAGGCCATGTCAGCTGCGTACAAACCATCTCCTCTTGGCTACGGATCACCGCGAAGCTCTCCCTTTCGCAGACCCGAATCGCCTGCTGCATCGTCGCCACTCAGACAGTCAACACCACCCGGTACACCTTCGAGGATCGGTCACTTGCGCTCTCCATCACGACTAGGAAGCGATTCAACGCCAGTAAAAGCCGCTCCAACTTCACCAGACTTTACTCGATCTAGGCCACTGCCGCAGCCAGAAAACATGGCCAGTCCACGCCTTGGTTCACCGGTATCAATCAGATCGCAGGCGCCAGCGGCTGCAACAGGAGGTAACGCACTGTCGCAGCTACAACCACAACAACTTCGAGTCCTGAGGGATGGTTTCCAGATCCTTGATAGGGACAGCGATGGCTCTGTCAACAGAGAGGATGTTGCCGATATGATGAACCAGCTGGGTAGGTTCAAGAAACCGTTGATTTTGCTGCACCCGACTCTTTTGCTGATATCAATGCACTCCCAGGCATGACGCCCAGTCAATCAGAGCTTTCGCAATTCTTCCCACCAGGTGGACCGCAAAACATGACACTCGCCGTATTTCTAAATAGTATAGCGAATACGCTATCGGCCATGTCGCCCAGCAGTGAACTGTTGTCAGCCTTCTCCGCCTTTGACGACGACGACAGTGGTCAGGTCGATCTTGCCGAGCTGCGGGATGCATTGCTCCATACAGCCCCGGAGCCGGGCGAGAGCGCATTATCACCGCACGAGGTGGAAAAGATCATGGCTAGTTTCAGCGGACGAAGAGCCTTCAGCAAGAGCACAATGTCGGCAGGTGTATCAAGGAAGAAGGGTGAAGTCTTCAAATACCAGGATTTTGTAAACTCCATCGTCGGGGGCAGCGGGGCGGCGGAGCCAGCGCCTAGCAGCAGTGGTTCCGAGCAAAGTGAAGGATGAGTTGGCGAGTGCTGCTGCATAAGCGGAGCCGGCGTTCAGGCGTATCAACATCAACGTTCTCAATCATGTATATTTGTCTAACAGGAAAGGAGAAATGTAATCTACCATAGGCGGGAAGACTGGGTCATGGGCGGGAACCCGTTGACTACGAATTGCTTCATTGAACATACATAATAGATCACTGTGGAATTCTTTAACTTGAATTGGTTCTCATTTGATAGGATCAATTGTGTTTTGTGCCTCTTCGATCGAGGCTCATCAGAATTTGAATTGATTTCAGTGCCGCCCCCTCATGCACTGAGTTTTCAGTGTCGCGAACGAGCTTGAATCGCTATAGCATAGTCGTCGTCGCATTGTTGTCTGTGTTCCTTTCAATGTCTTACGTATATTGTTGCAACCGAGAAGGTCCAGCGGTGATCAAGAGCTATGCCCGCCAATCAGTCTGCTTCAACTGTGGCCATGATTTTGCTTTTTCCTCATCAATGTAACTCGGGAAGCCGTCAAATCTGTCACGGCGCTTACGCGGGCTGCCCTTCTCAACCCGCCCTTCGCGAACACAGGTTATGTAGTAATAATAACAAAGTCACAGTCAGTGAAATTGAATGAAAGAAAAATCTCTTCAATACTCCAAAGGATCCTGGCATTGATTCCGACAAAATAGCCGGTATTGTACTTGTCATAACCAGGCCACTGGTGAAAACATATACAATAGCAACAAGTTCACCACGATCGGTTATACTGGACTTCGAGTTGTCTTGGCGCTCTGAGACCCACAGAAGGTTCGAGAATCGAGAAATGCTAAGATATGCACATTTGCCAAATACCCTTCATAACTCCGACAAGAGTTGCACGATTTCAGGAAGGGCACACTGCAGATTGGGGCGTTATTAGTTTACGTAGAGGTTGTGCGCGGGGGGGTTTAAGAGGGGGGCTGAAATCCTCCCGCCTATCGTACCGCCTGGGTCTTTGGGACGATGTGCCCCCGGCCCCTGTTAGACTTTCATAAATGGAATGACGGCAGGACGGTTGGACGGGTGCAAGGATTGAGAGTACCAAGCGGGCGGGAGCAAGCGCCCGTATAACCGCAATACTATTACATTATTTTCTCTATCTGTTTCTTTACATCAAACGGGACGTGACTAGTCCTCGACATGTGCACTTCCTCTTCCAGAGATTTATTTCTTCGCAGGTACAAAGTATATTCCGCACATAGCTAAGTTTATGAAAGCGGCAAGTCTGGGGTATCATTGCAAGGAACGCTGCAACTCTCACTCGCAAGTTCAACCTCCTGGATTTCTCGTGGTACACAGCAACGAGGGCTCCATTGGACGGCCACTATGGGGCAAATCAGCACTCCTACAGCAGAGATGACCACTGAGGATACCGCTTTTTCTGCCTGTAGATGCAGCGCCAGGTAAACAACACTGACAGCCCGAGGCTATTGGACGAACCGTTCTTTATTCACTGGATATTGGACCGCTACTGTGATAAGTGGACCCAAGAGGGCTGGGTATTCTATACCTTGTCTCATCCTGTATAGCCGGCGTGATGACAGGTAGATTGAACTTGAAGCTCGCGTTTATGGGGGAATTTGCACAAAAAAAGAGTTCCCAAAAAGATCAATTCCCAGCCTGATAATTTTACGCTTCGGTTCATTCCCCGAGCCCTCCCTCGCGCATAGCACTTGGCTTGAACCAGACACAGGGCGTTTGTGGACAGCACATCACAACTGTTTTTGTGCAAGGCAACGACCAGGGAAAATAAATAAATACAAAAAAAACATTGGGCTGGCAACAATGCTTTGGCTACCAGAATTATGTACCTAGGCTGATAAATCGATCCAGAGTCGAGGCCAAAGACGTCAACTAATCTGATTACCCCCCCGGTTCTCTCATATCAGCACGACGTCGACGAAGTTGAGAGCTCGGTTCCATCTCTTTCCCTCTCCTTCCCACTTTGACCCAGACGCCTCGACCATATTCTGTCCTCTCCCAAAGCCTATTTCACTTTCTCGTTGCGTTTTACAGCGTTCTTCCCCGTTCCCCGTTCTCGCCAGCAGAAACGGGTCAAAAAAAGAGGACCATTGAAAAGTTACGGCGGCAGCAATTCTGCTACTACTATTCAGCAGTTCGGAACGTACCCCTACGGACATTACATACCAACCGCACCTGTTTCGCCAGCTACGTAGGTATAGTACTCCACGCGCGACTCATTGCAGACCGTGCTAGCAGTCAAGTCAACTGTCATCCCTCTCAACAAGTGCCATTGAGGATTCAGCACACCCAGCAACTGTGACGCCGCCAGTAACCTGTGCAACCGCACGTCCGATAATACAACAAACTCGTTGCAAGACTGACGCCTCAGCTGTTGTCGGCACCTCCCTCAATTTCCGAGTCCAGGATCTTGGTGCATTGCTTGTTGCAATATCTACTATTGGAGAAAACACAGCATTGCACAGAATTCTCCTTGTCATAAAACAATATTTGTTTCCTACTCGAGGTACAGGCCGAAGTGGTCTCGCTCCTTTTATTGCGTTGCGATTCATGCGCTTGAGCCAGACGTGCGCATCGATCCTTACTACTACTACCACTACTGCTGCACTGAATACCTTACGTCTTGTCTCTTATTTTTTTTTGCCCCGGGGCCCGAGTCCGGCCAGAAGCAGCCTTACCTAAGACACACGTTTGGTGGTGGGATCCGCAGCGTAGCGGGCTTGGAGGCACCGACCGGCTTTAGACTTTCGAAAACTTGCCATAGTCTTCCCCAATGAAGAATATCTTCTCCTCCAAGAAATCAACCTCGCCAAAGAAGCCACAGACCGGCGAAAACGACGAGAACCGCAACCCTCGTCAGGCTTCGGAGCCATCTTCGCCCGTCAAATTTGCTTCTGCCCCTCCTTCTTACTCCTCAGCCACTGCGCTCAAGAGGGAAAGGGAATCCCCCAGAAAATCTACTAGACCCGCATCGCCCGCATCGCCCACGCCGCGAGAGCAACTTCCCACCAAGCCAAGAAGTTCGCGATCCTTTGGTAGACAAAACACTGATTCTTCCTCGTCGTCGTCTTCGCGCCGCAGCAAGAAGCACGATCCCAATACTCATCCCCTCAATCTCCCGCCAGACGAGCGAGACAAGCGCTTGTCAGCCCTCTCCAACATGAGTAACCGCAGCTCCGTTGATAAGATGGACATCGATTCCAGCGCCCCTCCATCGTCGCCACCTCAGACCTCGTCTAGCAACGGTACCGTCCCTGTCAGCTCGCCGACCAACGGACGGAAAACGCCTCCCACAAATGGCGACGGGCCTGTTCCCCCTCCTCACAGATCCAATCCTTCGAGTCCAGTCCCTTCGCCTGCTGACGAGGCTGAATCTTACAAGAATATCGGCAACAAGTTTTTCAAGGAGAAAGATTACAAGAATGCCATTTTGCAGTACTCCAAGGGTATGACTACCCGACCTCACAAGAAAAATGAGTCCCAACCATGACTGACACTTGCCTCTTAGCTGTTGACCTGGTGCCAAACTCTGCTACTTACCTGAGCAACCGTGCCGCTGCTTACATGTCCAATGGCCAATATGAAGCTGCCCTAGAGGATTGCTCCCGCGCTGTAGACCTTGACCCGTCCAACCCCAAGTTTCTGTTGCGACTTGCTCGTATCTACACCAGTCTTGGTCGTCCCGAAGAGGCTCTCACTACTTTCAGCCGCATCGATCCACCAGCCTCGGCTAAGGACATGGCTCCCGCGAGGGAGATGCAACACCACATCAAGGCTGCTACCGATGCACTCGAGAATGGTACTTCGGGTTCAATGGTTTTGCATGCTCTCGATCAGGCTGAGAAGTTCCTGGGACTTGGTGCGCCCAAGCCTCGCAAGTGGCAGTTGATGCGTGGTGCGGCCTACCTTAAGATGGGAGGAATCAACTCCTTGGGCGAGGCGCAAAACGTTGCCATGTCTCTCTTGAGATACAACAGCTCGGACCCCGAGGCTTTGGTTCTGCGCGGTCGTGCTCTGTACGCACAAGGCGAGAATGACAAGGCTATCCAGCATTTCAGAAAGGCGCTGAGTGGCGACCCAGACTACCGAGATGCGATCAAGTACCTGAGAATTGTTCAAAAGCTTGATCGTATGAAGGAGGAGGGTAACACAGACTACAAGGCCGGTCGCTGGCAAGCCGCCTTTGACAAGTATAGCCAAGCTCTAGAGATTGATCCCGCCAACCGTGGTACCAACTCAAAGTTGTTCCAAAACCGTGCGCTGTGTCGCCTCAAGCTCAAGCAATATGACGATGCCATTGCAGACTGCGAGAAGGCCATTAGCCTGGACCCGTCGTACATGAAGGCACGCAAGACAAAGGCCAACGCTCTCGGCCAAGCCGAGCGATGGGAAGCTGCTGTCCAAGAATGGAAGGCCATTCAAGAGATGGACCCCGAGGACCGCACTATTGCCAAGGAGATTCGCAAGGCTGAGCTCGAGCTCAAGAAGAGCCAGCGCAAGGACTACTACAAGATTCTCGGTGTCTCCAAGGACGCCGATGACAACACCATCAAGAAGGCTTACCGAAAGGCGGCCATCGTCCACCACCCCGATAAGAACCAAGGCGATCCTGAGGCAGAGGAGCGCTTCAAGGATATTGGAGAAGCTTACGAGACCTTGAGTGACCCTCAGTAAGTTCTCAGCCATAGATGAATATCTTAAAGCTGTTACTAATTGTACCACAGGAAGCGAGCACGCTACGACAGTGGCGAGGATCTGATGGATCCCTCCGACATGTTTGGCGGTGGCGGAATGGGCGGAATGGGCGGTGGCATGGGCGGAATCGACCCTGAAATCCTCTTCAGCATGATGAATGGAGGTGGCTTTGGAGGCGGCGGCGGCGGCTTCCCTGGTGGTGGTGGTGCTCGCTTCTCCACAGGAGGTGGAAGATCAGCCGGCGGTTTCCCCGGCGGTTTCCACTTTGGCTGACAACCCGCCGAGTTCGAGTCCGAGGAGAGGGAAGACGGAGGCGAGGAGTCTCAGCATGAGTCAGAGTTTAGGAGGCGCCGTAGTCGTCGACATCGGCGCGCTGACCGTGATTCTGCGGCTGGGGGCTACAGAGGCCGTGACCGCAGTCGAACCAAGTCAGGCAATGCCGACTTGGGAGACCGAGTAGCTCAGGTAAGGCGATGGGGCATATTCATTATTGCTGCCCTCGTATTCTTACCGCGTGAGCTGGCGGCGACTGCAATCGTGGCTCTGGGCCTCGTGTACATGTGCTTTGCTGTTTTCGCATAGTCATGACCGTGGCATTGTCTGGGATTCTTTGTGGATACGGTGGACGACATTCACGACATTCATGTAAGAGATGGGTGATATGATAAAAGACGAATGGGGGTATAGACTGGATTGGCAGCAGCATCATCATCAGCAGACCATCCGCCGTGCAACGCTCGACACTGAGTGGCTAGATCATTTACAGGCGTTTCGTTGGGGTTCTTCCTTGAAGTGGCAATCAACCACTAGACAAATGATTCTTCATACTGTTGTTTGTTGTGCTACAAAATCCGATGGCGAGCCGATCGAGCTTAATCGTTTCATAGTGCGATGAATGGATAGACCTTTTCATTAGAATGAACGCTATTTCCTCCCTAATTGCATCACTGTACACCTGGCACTCTCTGACAATACCTGTCATATTTGCAATGCAGCGCAGATAAAGTCAGTATTATCTATTTTTCTCTATGGGACCAATGTATCAGCTGTCACTGTCATATGAGTGCAACACTATCCATACACCCAAACCCAGCAGCAACACCGCCCTCCTCGCTCTGATCTCCCTTGGTGCGGAGCAAGTACCCAGCCATGTCATTCCAGCGCAGAACCTTGCTCTCATCCTTCTCGTTCTGGTCCCACAGGCAGGTGCCGTAGATACCGAGCTCACAGATGACGCCGCCGCTCTCCAGGTTGCCGTTGCGCAGGATTGTGTTGCGCACGGGTGGCGGCGTGATGAGCTCCATCAGGATGTACGCACCCCAGTGTTCCTCGGGCTTGGACCGCAGAAACTCGGGAATGGCAGACCGGTAGATATTGTTGCCACCACCCTCACGCTGCGGCTTTAGCACGTACCGCTTGCACTGCTCCGGGTCCAGTGCCAGCTTACGCGCCTCCTGGCCGGCTGCCGAGGTGTCCAGCGGGTAGATGTTGGTAAAGGTGGCCTCGAGGTCCTTGAGCGTCGTGTGCGTGGCCGGGGAGAGGAAGCGGTGCAGGATGGGAGCCGACGCGGACGTGTTGGGCGTTGCGAGCACCTGCTGTACCTTTTTGGTGCCGGCGACCTGCGTCAGGACCGTCGGACACTTGATGGCGGCGGAGCGCTCCAGGTGGTACCGGGCCTCCCAGGCGCTCTCGCTCGGGTAGTCCCCGGGCCCGTAGCCGCAGCGCATGTAGACGACGGCGACCTCAAAGGTGAGATGGGATAGTTGCGGCGGCGTGTACAGCAGCTGCCGCCCGTCGCCCTCGGCTAGCCTGGTGTGTTGTAGCACCTCAGAAAAGGGCAGTCGAAACACGGGGATGGTCTGCGGTGGGGCCGAGACCTCATATTCGAGGTGCTTTTGGTCAAAGATGTTGCGCTCGCCGTCCTGGGTCAGGAAGATGACACACTTTTGCCGCCCGGCTTTGGCTTCTCCGTAGGCTGTAAAGGCCTGGATGATGCCCTGAGCCAGGCCCTTGGCGCTGTGGTTGTCGGGCAGGGTGGTTGCGCCCTTGATGACGGGGTTGGCGAGCAGGCCGTACTCGGCGGCCGCGAGGTAGCGGTGCAGGAGAGAGGTCTGGGCGGACAGGCCACCGAATGAGGAAGCAATAGTGTTGAATTCCACCTGCTTGACCTGCGGTGTCGACTCTGGTGTCTCTTGGTGGACCATGTAGTCTGACCTGAACAAGCCCAGCGAGAGAGGCTGCACATAGCCTTCCTCCTTAACCCTCAGGTGGACTTTCCAGAGCGCTTGCGTGAATTCATCACTGTCTCCAATCCTGTGTTTCGTGTCAGTAAGAAGTGGTCTCTATACAAGAATTCGACACGGCGGGACTTCTCACTCCTTCACAATCTGGGCCAGGAAGTCCTCGTCACGGCTAATGGCCGCGTACAAGTCATTGTACGTCTTTTGCACGTGAGCACCCTGGTCGAAGCAGAGTTTCGGAAAGGGACTGGGGAACAAGGTCACGGGCACGGCCGTGGCCAGGATGTTGCCCGGGTCTTGGCCGGCCGCAACCACGGCGGGAGGTGGTCGGACGACGAGGCCGTGGGCTATGCACCAGTCCTTGGCTACTTCCGTCAACCTCTCGCCCTCCGAGGCGCTGATCTCGGGAGGGTAGGACGACATTTGGCGGCTTTTTCTTTGCTGGTCCTTTCTGCAAGGGGGCGTTTTTTCCGTGACAGGGTTCTTGAGACTGTCACGGTATAAATTAGACAAATTAAAAAAATTGTTTCTCAGATCTGATTCGATAACAATTCATTTATTTTTATCTGTGAGGGGGGGGTTGACTAATGTACTAATCTACAACCTATTCCGTATTATTAAGGTCTGGTAGTTTCCGCAACCCCGCTGCTGTTCTGGTGCGCACGCTTCCGAATTCCTCGCCGCGCTAGTCTCCGGTATACCCATTATGTGTCTCAGCTGGTTTCTTGGCAAAGGAATGGGAAAAAAGCTGGGTGATGGCTCAATCTTTTGGGCCAAGTGTGGGTAGCTGAAGGAATCCTCCTCGCTGGCTTCAACATGAAGTCAACAACGGACCAAGGCAACGTCAAATGCGCCCAGGACAAACAAATTGCTGTCCAAGAATGACGCAAATATGGATCGGGCATACCCAAGTGATCTTTATACACCTCTGAATGAAGCGGCCAATGAAATTCGACTTCTAACCTTTGAAGATTCGAGTTCGCGGCCAAGTCGCATACATTGCCGGCTTACTGTTCATTCCCTCGATAGCATCAGCGACAGCTTTCGTAGACATCTTGTTGCTAAAGGCAATCCAAGCCAGCTGCGCAGAAAAGATGTGATAGAATGGGCGGTCCAGTCTAACATTGAAAGAAATGACCCTACGGCCTCGCTGTCGGACGAAGCTTGTCATTTCGAATGGGGATGTTACGACACCCTCTCTTACGTTTGGGGCTCCAAGATTAGTCGTGAGCGCATCGTGGTCAATGGCCACAAGGTATCGGCGACGGAGAACCTCGTCGGCGTGCTTAGAAACCTATCCAAAACAGGGCAGTATAGAGGCCGACACAGACTCTGGGTGGACGCACTCTGCATCAACCAGACGGATGAGCGGGAAAAGACGTCACAGATCAAAAAGATGCGCTACATCTACAGCGTGGCCTGGCGTGTAGTATCCTGGCTGGGCGAGGACGGCAATGCGAGCAATGCCGCCTTTGACCTGCTTGAAAAGTTTGCCGACATTGCCCGCCAGGTCGGCAAGCCGGCGTTCGGGGAGCTCCCGCTACCCTCAGGGCTCTTCTTTGGCGACTACTTTTACGGGCTCAATGAGTTGATGCAGCGGCCGTATTGGTCGAGGCTGTGGATCGTCCAGGAACTGGTGCTGGGCTCTTCGTCGGTGGTCTTGCGTTGCGGGGAGCGCGTTCTGGGTTGGAAGACGTTCTGTTCTGGGATCAATATCTTGAACAGAGCCGACATGTGGGTCATCAAGGACCAGCTCTTGAAAATGGAGCACAAGGCGAGAGGACTTGGAGGTTCTCGTTACCACGCCGTGTTTGGCACGCTATATATACATCTCGTGCACAAGGATATCCAGGTATTGGCACACTATGAGGAGACACAAGGAGGCGGAAATCTGAGTCTCCGCCGCCTGTTGGACATTGCCTGTGGATCGGATTGTACGGACATGCGAGACAAGGTGTTTTCCCTCCTCGGCATGATGGAACCGCAAATCGCGAGTACCGTAGTTCACGACTACTCCAACCCCCCGTCGACACTCTTCGCCACCGTTACTCGATCCTTCATCACGCATTACAACGACCTGGAACCACTGCGCGAAGGCAACCCATGGTCTAGGACAGGCACACCATCATGGGCCGCCGACTGGACGTGGGATGGTCGTTTGCGATATTCCCGACCCGAAACTCCTCTCTGGGGCTTTTGGAACGTCTGGAACGAACAACCGATTGATGCGCGGAGGCTGTATCGCGCAGCAGGCGACAAAGTAGCCCAGTACACATTTATTGACGAAAAGGTACTGAAATGTAGAGGTTTTGTCGTGGATGTCGTCACGGGCCTGGGCGCCGTGGGCTCGGGATACTTTGCCTGGGATGCCTCAGCCACGGAGCAATGCTTGTCCTGGCAAAGCATCTACGGCGGCCCAGAGGAAACAGCGATTGCCCTGTACAAAACCCTCGTGCTGGACTGCGTGGTAGCAGGTCAGCCGGCCGAGGACCGGCATGCTGCGATTCTGCATCTACCCAGGAAGTTCTCCTTGGCCCAGCCGCAGTTTCATCAGCGTCAATGGCAGTGGATGGCGTCGCAAAGGGGGTACTATTTCCGCTGGCAACTATGGCGTGCTGCTCATGATGAAATCGTCATGGGAAACATGCGCCTGGGGGATTTCTTCAGCGACGAGCTGCTGGACGGCGCAACAGAACAAGACTATGCCGAAGTCTATGGCGGGTTTGACCGGACGGGCAAGGAGAGGCGGTTCATGCTTACGGAACGGGGCTATCTTGGCTGGGCGCCAGACAACATCGCAGGTGGATTTGGGGAACAGACACGAAGGGGCGATTTGATATGCATCATCTTTGGGTGCTCTACCCCCTTGATCATACGCCCAACCATTTCGGGCCAGTACCTTATCGTCGGGGAAGCATATGTCCATGGGCTAATGCGTGGAGAGGCGCTCGACTTCCTTGACGCCAAGCAATGCCATGTGCAGGACTTTACTTTTGTTTAAGCGCTTGGTTTGACAAAGATGGTGCATTGCAGCTGCATCAAAGTATAATGTGGTCGAGTATCGGTATTTGCACGACATACGACATAAGCTGGGGCTTTGACGTAAAAAAGTCTTTATATAGAAGACAGCATCACATTTAATATGACTATAATAAGTACTTGTGGACCCCCATATTATCACAAGGGACATGTTGCCAGAATGCTCGCGGTTTTTGTGTATTGGTTGGTGATAGTAAGCACAGGGTTGTTATCTTGAACCAAGGCATAAGAAGTCATTGAAACTTGATTTACGTGATGTTTTCACATCAAACTGAAAATTTATTCGTCCAGAACCAGAATACTCTTTGTCATCTGTTGAGATGTATTAAAAGGTGTGATATTTCATTGTGAGATATCTTTCAGCCAGATTACTGCGGGTAGGGGAAAAAAAAACAAGAAGTTCCGGGTATGTATGGCTCTCAATACCAAAAATACGTCTTTCTTAGGTTCAAACCTTGTGCAGTGAATATTGATTAAGTTGGCGCGTTCAGCCTCGCGCATCAGAACAAATGCAGATTGAGCCCAGATTGAGAGGCCAATTGGCAGACGCATAAAATGAAAAAAGATAAGACTGACCCCAGACTCTTAGACTATTACTAAATATCCGAATGTTTCCATTTCTAAAAGACAAATACTACAGTATACTACTACCCCGCCCCCGCCTGAACCGTGCTATCCTTATCAAGAGGACCCTGATTAAGCATTCTTATCCATCACGTGGGGCGGCGTTGGTTGGCGTCTTTGCAGCGCCCACTAGCGCTACTCGACGGCCCTCGCGCGCGCGACGCGGCCCCGCTATCGGTCTCCAGGTGCTTTGGGCGCGTCCCGGATGGTGTTCTATTCTGAGCTCAACTCCAAAAAAAAAGTCAAGGCATTGTGTTTGAGCTGCAGGTCTGCTACCAACAGCAACCACATCCCAGGCAATTTTCTGCAGGCCTTGGAATTCGCGTTGCACTTTGTTTCTGTCTTCATAATCCGCATTGCACTTTGATCAATCCCATTCGAATTACGAGGCGCCGACGGATTGTTCGACTTTGGGCCGGGTCTTGATATCAAGGCACTGATTGGCTTGCCATTGGGTTTTCAAGACCGCCAAACGGATGAGCCGCGAGCCTTCTTTGCACCCTTGAATCTTTCTCGACACACCATATACTGGCGATCAGTCTCTTCTATCATCCTGTCCGACTTCAATTGTTCTCCCGATTTCCCATTCGATTCCCAAGTTGTCCCTTGCTGGATCGTTGTACCACCACCACCACCACCACCACGACGAACTGCCGCTCCGTTCTGCTCTTTCCTACTATAAATCAGTTAATATTCGTCCTCGGGAGTTTCTGCAAGTTCAACACCCAAGGTCGGAAACCACTTTCGCGTCTTCGCACAAGAACTTGAGCTCCAGCGTCGGTGCATCAGTACAAGACCATCTTCACCAGACCTCCACCTAGTCATTTATATCCGAAGACAATTCTATATCAAGCTGCTGGATTCACACAACGACAGAAAATTTACGATATTGTGAAGCACGTCAGCGCTTCTTACACATTGGAATAGTCACTTCAAGGTAAAGTTGTGCCCCGCACCCACCGTTCCTGCCGTCCATTGAGGATGCGCCATGCCAACCTCTCGGCCGTGTTGAGCATTTTTGACTAATGGGTTTCATTCTTCCTACAGACATCACAGGTTCAATCAGTCAACCTTCTCTCCAGCGGATTTCCTTTCCGACCAAGAATGAATCCAGATTTGGTCTTGTGACAATATGGCCAACGCGTCTGATCCCTGGGACTGGGACACTGAGCGGGTGGTGCAAGAGCTCTGTACCGACAAGCGCAGCTGGAAACCGCCCACAAATCCGCCCAAGCTTCCGAATCTTGAGAAGTTGAAGGATAGCTTGCAAGAGAACCTTATTGATGGAGAGAGTCTTCTCGGGGACGGATCCTCGGCTCCCGACTTCTTCTCTGACATTGGCGTCAGGGCCAGCAAGCACAAAGAGACTATCAGAGCAGCAATCAACCAATTGCGAAACAGAAGTAGCAAGTACAAGCTCTGGAAAACACGCCAAGATCAAGGAGATGATGACGATGATGACGACGAGGCTGGACTACACGAGGAGTTTCTTGCCCGCTTCAAGCATATTGATCAGGCCAATAGAAAGAGAAAGCTAGAGCAAGAGCGTGGGCAGGACAGTGACGAATCAGCCTACAATACACCGCGAGCGAGTCTGTCCGAATCACCAACTCAAACGCCTTCACCGAACACCACCACCAAGAAGCGCAAGATTGCGCCAACGCTTCTTAACGGTGATGCCAATATCGATGATTTTTGCAATATCCCCCAAGGCATTCTCGTTTCTGAAGTGGTGCCAGAGGTGGACGACAACGGTCTTATGCACGGGGCATATCTGGGCGAAGAGGTCCTGAACAGAGCAGACATCAATAACTTTGACGTCTCTGGTCAGCCCCTGTCCGACAACGAATTCGATTTTGAGTTCCGTCTCGCTCCCTACCCAGTGGGTCTTCGACGACAGCGTTCACGGCTGGTGAAACGTCGACTCGGCAATCGACAACATGTCTTCAGACCCGCCAAGTCGGACATGGTTCGAGGCGGTGAAGATCCTGGCCACTATGAGGTTCTTCCGGCTTACGGTGAATCTGATGATGAGTATGACAACGCTACCTGGAGGGAGATTCAGCAGGAGAAAAAAGAACGCAAGGAAAGGCTCGAAGCCGAAGCCCAGCGTAAGCATTCCGAGCTTCCTCTTGGTGAAAAGGAGGCCATTCTGGATACTATCATTGAGAAGCTGAAAGAAGAATGGAAACACGAAAAGCTGCCGGGCTTGGAATACAAAGCTCATAATATCTGGAAGAACGCTCAATCTGTACTCAAACAGGCTCTGGATCAAGAGAAGCGTCTCATTGATCGCTATCAGAAGCGACTCAACGACATTCGAGCCACTACCAACACGGTGAATTACTCGAATAAAGCAGAGATGAAACGGCTAGAAGGCAACCTGGAATTAACAGTCGGTGATCTCGAAACTTCAAGATGGAAAATCAACCTTTTGAAATCTCCGAATCAGCCCAATCGACTACCAAGAATTCATCGACCGCAGAAGCCAAGAGTACCCAAAGAACATCCGCTTGATGAATCTGATGGGGAGACACTTGGAAGCGATACAGACCTTGAAGAGATTGAGCTCCAGGATTTCATTGTTGAAGATGACGATGAAGAGATGGCCGAGCCTCTAGTTGATAAGACTATCCACGGACCTCGTAGATCTGGGTCTAGTTCGGCTTCCATTGACGTACAGATGCCGAATGCCCAGGACACCGACGACGTACCAATGGGTGAAGGCGAGCTTGCAATGGATCTTGACGCACCTTCTCCCTCTCCCGATGGACCCCCAGCTGCGGAGCCATCAGAGTCTTCTGACCTTAAGCCCGGACCTACAGCTCAGGATAACAGTTCAACTGAAGGGTCACCTGGAATTAAGCCAGATGGCGTGCCTGCGGCTATTGTTAACCAAGTCCTCGATGCAGCAGAGACTTTGGATCTAACCCAGCCTGCAATGCCCGCCATCAAACGCGAGGTTCCGAGCACACCACGCTCCAAGTCGGGACTAAAGATCGATACTGTCCAGGGCAAGGAGACTATAGATCTCACCACACCAGTGAAGTCAAATTCTCCTGCGGTATCGTTTAGCCCAAGTCAGATGCTCAATGTCTCTCCGATCGATGAGCAAGGTCTTTCAGAGAACGAGAAGTACGTGCTTGCAATGCTCGATCGGCTCGAAGAGCACCACAGATCGTCTGTTGTGTTGTTGGCGTCGAAGATGGAGTCTGATCTTGTTTGGACAGGATTACTTCTGCCTGCTTTGCGCAAAGCAGACTATCCCAAGTTGCCCAGTTCATCCAAAGAAGATTTGGATTCGTTCCGCGGTTTGCACATTGCTCGATTGTTTGATGCCTTCCTGGGATCATCGCCCCCGCACTTAAAGCGCTGGTTTGATGCCGAGGGAAGGTCTAAGCTGGAGGAAAAGGCTGATCAATTTTATGATTTTCTCAAGTTTTTGCGAAAACTTTCCCTGAGATACGTGCCTGGAATAGCAGCTCAGAAACCGCCAGCATCTGCCACTCCTCCGAAAAACATTCAAGCACCAGGCCATGTTCGTGGCAACTCTATTGACGACGAAACTGATCAAGATGTAGAGGAGTCCAATGTTGACGAGTCTCCCACAAAGAAGAAACGCAAATCAACCATTGTCCGAAACCAGCAGGCACAAGACTTGCGAAAGTTTGACCAGAAACGTATCAAGGAGCAAGAAGAGCGAAAGAACGCCATGCGGGCCAAACTTGCTCTGCATGGAGATACCCAAGTTAGTCCAGACAAGACCCGCTTCATTATCAACGAATCCAAGGATAATGACGAGGGCTATATCTATGTTCCGGACAACATCGCTGGTATGATCAAAGATCATCAGATATCGGGCATCCGATTCATGTGGAATCAAATTGTCACGAACACAGAGGTCCGACAGGGCTGCCTCCTAGCCCATACAATGGGTTTAGGAAAGACGATGCAAATTATTACTTTACTCATAACGATCGCTCAATCTGCAGCATCGAAGGACCCATCAATCTCTTCGCAGATACCCGAAGACCTAAAAGAATCCCGGACATTGGTCCTCGCCCCCGCTGGCTTGGTCAACAATTGGATGGACGAGCTTTACATGTGGACCGGCGAGACAAACCATCATCTCGGGGAATTCTACAAGATTGATGCCTCAGACAAGATGCCAGAGAGGCAAGGGACTGTTCAGCGGTGGAGCAATGATGGTGGTGTGCTCGTCCTTGGATACAACATATTCAAGATACTGCTCAAAAATGAATCGCTGGAACAGATTCTGCTGCAGAAGCCAAATCTTGTCGTTGCCGATGAGGCTCACTACATGAAGAACCCAAACTCGCGGCTGCATACTGCCGTAAACTTCAAAACTCATCTTCGTCTGGCCTTGACTGGATCGCCTCTGGCAAACAATGTCTTGGAATATCACTCAATGATCAATTGGGTAGCACCCAATTATCTTTCCGATCTGAGGGAGTTCCGCCATGACTTTGCCAACCCCATCGAGGAAGGCCTCGGCGTGGATGCGACCAGGTATAGCAGGCGCAAGGCTTTGACCAGACTTAAGTCTCTGAAAGATACTGTTGCACCCAAGGTCCATCGCCGTACCATCCATTCTCTCAAGGATGACTTGCCGCAGAAGACAGAATTTGTTATCTGTATACCCCTGACAGAGCTACAAAAGAAGGTATATGAGACGCATTTGAAGTTCGTCAACTCCGACCAAAGTCCCGCTAGTGCGTTTGCGCTTATCGAGGTACTGACCTTGCTCTGCAATCATCCTTCATGCTTCCGACAAAAGCTTTTGAAAGAAGCACCAGGAGGAACGGAACTTGGAGGATACGGATCTGCCAGTGCCAATGGGAACGCCTCAGAAGCCGCTGATGAAGAGTACACCTCAGCAGGAGCCACTCCTGATGATAGCGGTGCTGAAGCCAGCACCGCTCCGATACCAGGCCAGCTTGTTAGTAATCAGCTGCAACTCATTCAAAAGAACGTCGATAATCTCGAAGGTCAAAAGGAGTCGTGGAAAATCCCTATCCTGAAGAAAATAGTCAAAGAAAGTCGAGCACAGGAAGACAGCGTGCTTGTGTTTTCTCACTCGCTCGAGACCATTGATTATCTAGAGAGAATTTTGAAGCGGGATAAGCTCCAGGTCACTACTCTCACCGGCCAAACGAAAGTCAAAGATCGACAGACAATGATCAAGAACTTCAATGCAGGCGGACCCGGCATCTTCTTGATTTCGACCAGAGCTGGTGGATTGGGTCTCAATATTACCGGTGCAAACCGTGTCATTCTTTTTGACGCCAGATTTAATCCACAGCATGAGTTGCAGGCTGTCGGTCGAGCTTATCGCCTGGGCCAACAAAAGCCCGTTTTTGTTTACCGCTTCGTGTGCGGTGGCACTTTTGAAGAGAAACTTCAAAACCGCGGCATCTTCAAGATGCAGCTTGCATCCCGCGTCGTTGACGAAAAGAATCCCATTCCCAAGGCGCAACGACTTGAAGAAATGTTTCAAATGCCGTCTGAACCAGTTCAGGAAGATCTCGAGCCTTTCAAGGGCAAAGACAAGGTTCTCGATGCTATTCTCGCTTCGCATGAGGGTGACGGTATACGATCTATTGTCATGGCTGATACATTCGAGGAGGAGAATCTTGATGACGAACAGCTGACCAACGAGGAACAATCAGAAGCCAGTTGGCTGGTAAAGATGCACCAGGATCGTCTTACTGGGAAGCCCCAGGTGCCTTTTGCCCCAGTCGTTACTGGTTCTCACCAAGCAACTGGTGTTTTGTCTATGCCTTCTCAGCCTCATCCTGGCTACCATCAACCAGGTACCCATCCCTTGCCTGCCATGCACCGATCATATCCCCACCCCAACAACTCTCAAGCAGTTGCACAGCAGGCTAATAATACAGTCGGTGCCTCCCATCTACGTCCGAGTGCCCAATCTGCCCGGCGTCAAGCAGGTATCCAGAATCCATTTCCCCAACCAATTGCTCAGCCTGCCAATCCTCAAGCAGCTGCTGCTCACCCCAACCAAATAACAGGTAAGCAGTACTTAGAGCTTCTAGATTTAATGGCTGAGGTTGAGCGCGCGCATCTTGAGCTTCGTCGTCGTCATCCTGCGATTCCTGAGCTTACTCGTCGTCATCCAGCTGCTCTACCTGCCAGTACGGAAGGACCAACCCACCCTGCCTTTCAGTCAGGCACTGCAAGTCCTGTTCCAGGAGTGACCACTCAAATCAGGGAGGCAACAGCACATGAGCCGGTAGATCCATCAGCATTGCGTTATTGGGCTGGACCGAACATCCTTAAGGGGGAGCTCGCACGAGTATTAATGCGCAACGAGTCTGATGACGGCAAGAAAGAGCACGTAAAGATGGTTGCCCGTACCATTTCTGAGACGTTTAACGAACTACGCTCCTCCAAGGATACCAATGAGCTTGCACGTGCAAAGATGGCTCTCGTTGATGCTGCAATTATCCCAACCATTGCCAAAGCCATCACATCTGGTGAATACACTCCTCAACAGTTGGCTGCATTCAGCGCCACCGACTATAGTCATTGGATGCAATCCGCTCGATTTGCCCTTACGATGGATCAGGCGAATACCCCCTCTGATCAGTCTACGAAGCAGCTCAATTCAATGGATGAAGGTACTTCTGCTCGGGCTATCGCGGAGATGGCGAGTACTCCAGATGGACGCCAGGATGGACCGTCAACTCAGCATGACACAGAAATCAATGGCGATACTTCTGTGCAAACTTTTGTTACGGCAATACCCGATGAGGAACGCCAGGGCAAATCACCGATTCAGCAGGAAGAGAGAGCGCCGTCTACGCAAGTAGGTGCCAACACTGCCCTCTCTGATCACTGATTCTTACAACTATGTTTCGTTGCGTCATACACACCATGGCAGCCTTCGAATCATAGTCTCTCAACCGTATAAAGCAGAGTAATAGCTAATATGAGACCCACACAGCAGGCGCCAAAGGAGGCCAACACTGTTTTCTCCAATAAGGAGAACTCGGCCCCGACACCTCGCAAGTCACACAAGAATGACGACCAGGCCGCTTTGATGGAGCTGCGAGCCCGCCGAGAAGCAAAGTCTAAGAACCCAAGGCTCCCGAACTGGGCTAAGGAAGCAGTTGCGAGCCAAGGACGTTCTACCCCTTCAACTTCTGCATCACCAGCACCAGCAGCTGCACCTGTTCGACGTGCAAAGAACCCGTTCCAATAGATGTTTCCTCCTGGTATGCTTGATAGCCTAGAAGGCTCATGTTTGCATGCATTTCATCGCATTGCGTCAAGTATGGGCAGGGGTTGAGCATTGGCTATTGTTGTCTCAAGCGGCATGGAGCTTGGCTTCATTTCATTTTTGATTTCCATTTTTCATGATTTCACTTTTTCTTCAACGCATTCTGGGCGTTGAACAGCGGTTTGCACACATTTGTTTATGAGATACCCATATTGCGGTCGATTTGATAGCCTCGGCAAGATCGAGGGCGAGCTTTCTGGGGGCTGTAGTTTTGGCTTTGGTGAGCCTAGAAGCGAGGAGGAGAAAAAACGGGGATTGGAGAATGACAGAATGGTGAGAGCTGCTGCTGCTGCTTCAGGGCAAGATATGCTATGTTCGCTGTGGAGGAATAGTAGAGATTCATAAGATTTTGCTGCCGGTTCGTTCGTCAGACGACAAGTCAGTACATCTTGCCCCTTAGGTAGTCAGAGTAATCAAGACTTGATGCTTTGATGTTGTCCTCTGTTTATTACAGAACTGTGCCAATGAGACGAGAATGGAATGCACAGTACTCGACTGGTACTCTGAAAAGATATATTACTGCACGGCTTCATTCTTGACCACAAACAATATCGTCATCTGGAATTTGGAGCCTTTATTACGTAGATGTCCAAGCAAATCTAGTTGCAGAAAGCAAACTTTTGTTAATCCTGAGTTGGTAGTATCTAGGTAGTAGATGAGTATGGGTGGTGTGTTTACATACAGCGTAGGTACTACTGACACTACAACGTATTTGCCCTGCATGTGTGCTTCTAGGACCCTGATTGGCTCATTAGAGGCAGCTGTTGCACCTGCATAGCGGACACTATTTTTATGCACATGTACTCGTACCTACGTCATGCTAGTGTAGCTCTGACCTTTGAAAGTGGGGCGCATGACTGTTTCGAGATTGAGCCAGTGAGCTGCGCGTACCTGGGTAGCTCTTCTCGGCGAGAGGACTCGTGATCATGAACAAAGGCAACCTTTGCTCCTCTTGAGCACAGTCGGTGAGAGACTTGTCCTCTCACACCTACAAAGCAAAACATCGCAATGGTACGTACGACTTGATGAGCGAGGGCTTATCAACGACTTGACAATGTCCCCGACTCTCGTCGAAGAGTCGTTCAAACAAATTGGAAGTTTGAAAGCTCGCGTCTTTCCCCAGTCTCTCCAAGATTACTGCGCACGTGAGCATCTCGGATTGGGCACAGAGCTGACAGTTGTGATATGCAGCCTTCTCAAACAACGCCCTTGTTGGCCGACGACCGTCGTCATGAGCGACGTCGGTCCTCTTTAGACTCGGACATGACCGATTCCGAGGATGATGCCCTGCGAGGCGACGCTCCTTCGACACACCACGGCCGATCATGGCACCTGCGACTTCGCGAAACCCTCATTTTCATCTGGGCTCTGCTCGCCACGGCTGGCGTCTTGATCCTGGCCATCTGGATGTCGCACAAGTCACAAATCGGATCCGAGAAGCCCAGTGGCAAGCGAAACCTTGTTTTCATGGTCTCCGATGGCATGGGTCCCGCCTCGCTCTCCCTTACACGATCGTTCCGACAGCATGTGGAGGGCTTGGAATTCGGCGACACCCTGACGCTCGACAAGCACTTTTGGGGAAGCAGTCGAACACGAAGTGCTTCGTCCTTGATCACGGATTCCGCAGCTGGTGCCACGGCCTTTAGCTGCGCGCAAAAGAGCTACAACGGCGCCATCTCCATGCTGCCTGACCATACCCCATGTGGCACAGTACTCGAGGCTGCAAAGAGGGCTGGTTTCATGACCGGCCTGGTCGTGACCACGGATATTACAGATGCCACGCCTGCTTGCTTTGCTAGCCATGTTGACGTACGTGAGCAGAATGATGATATTGCGCTTCAGGAAATTGGCGAGGGTCCCCTTGGCCGAGTGGTTGATCTCATGTTCGGAGGAGGAAGATGCCATTTCTTGCCCAACGGTACCCAAGGCAGCTGCAGAGCTGATGACATTGACGTTGTGTCTATTGCCAAGGAGAAGCATGGCTTCACCTACGTCGATGACCGCGCTGGCTTTGATGACTTTTGGGAGGGCAAGAAGGAGGTTCCCTTGCCGATGCTAGGTCTCTTTGCCCCTACCGATATTCCCTTCGAAGTTGATCGGCGTAATATGAATGATGTTTACCCCAGCTTGAGCGAGATGGCCAAGACTGCCATCAAGACACTGGAGAAGGCTACAGCCAATAGTGACAAGGGATTTTTCCTTATGATCGAAGGCAGTCGCATCGACCATGCCGGCCACATAAACGATCCAGCGGCCCAGGTGCGAGAAGTCCTGGAATACGACAAGACGTTCAAGTACGTTTCGGACTTTCTCGAGACCAGCAAAACCCCTGGTGTGCTCGTCGCAACCAGCGACCACGAGACTGGCGGTCTGTCGGTTGCAAGACGTATGTTGCTCTATTTTCCTACGCTGACCTATAGGTTCTTCTTGCTGACGTTGATTTGGTAGAAAACACTGTCGACTATCCCGAGTACTTGTGGTACCCTGCTGTTTTGGCCAATGCATCGTACTCGTCTCTGTACCTGGCTCATGAGCTGCACCAGCACATGAGTGAGAATAAGAATAAATCCGAGAAAGAACTCATCGCATACATCAATGAAAAGATCGTCGTCCCTGGACTCGGCATTCTTGATGCCACCAAAGAGGAGCTTGCCCCCATTGTCCAATACCCACTTCTCGCACAACAAGTCTTTGCCAACATGGTCAGCAGACGTGCTCAGATTGGATGGAGCTCCCACGGTCACTCAGCTGTTGATGTCAATATCTACAGCTCCGGCGGCCCAGGAACTGATTCCATCCGCGGAAACGTCGAGAACACCGACGTAGGAAAGTTTCTCAGAGATTACCTCAACGTAGATGTCGGTGACATTACTGAAGAATTGCAAGAGAAGATGAATAGAAAGCCAAAGTCGGCAGCTGCCGCCGCTGCCGATGTGGAGGAGGCTGAACAGGATCACTGGGCTGTCCATGAGGATACAGTAAGGCAGCTTGAGGAACACGGTGTAGAGGAATTCTAAGTACTTGCTGTCAAGAATATCTTGCTTTTCATATTGCATGGCATTTTCTAGGCTATCTCATTATGTTACACGGAAAGGAGGAACGGGACAGACATATGGTTGGTATCAGAGTTTATTTGGTTGTTATACATTGTGCTTTGGGGGATCACATTTCTCGAATTATCTAATACGTAGAACAAGATACCCAATGCGGATGTTCTTGCAAAACATTTTCAAAGAGTACAAGTAAGCAAACCGGCAAATTGGGTGAGATGGAACTTCTCGCATGTTTCATACCAGCTCTAGCCGCAGTTTGCATCGTGACAAATTCTCTTGAAATTCCCAGAAGCGTCTCATGGGCGTTGGAATACAACAAGCATTCCGTGGTCGTTGTGTCTCAGGCCGGAGGGTCATTATTGCGCATGAAACAATCTGAATAGGTGAGGTAGATGGAAACACCATGCTTGGTCTCTAGGGTGATATTGGCAATCTTGAAGAGCTCCGAGGAGTCATAAGAGTGCTGAATCCAGATTGCTCCATACGTTTGTTGATTGTCTCGCTACGGCAAGCAAAAAACTAAACATGGGATAAATGGTTGCCTTTCAGTTTCCCATATAACGAATATCTTATTCCTTCTTCACTTTTTTCATTCAAAGCGAATTCTCCTATTTTGGAAATGCCAAATATCCTTTGCCAGCCGTCGTGCAAGGATGGTCTCAATACTTTCCATCTCTTGCCTTGCTATCGGCTAAAAGCTTCTTTCACGATCATTTACCTAGCTTGACGTTATTGCTCGACGTATCGTTGGGAGAGTATGTGTATGAGTTTTGATCGCCCAAGCCGTCTTCATCAAGGATATATCTACAAAGATACACCACACCAAATACAGGATATCCAACATGTGCCAATTTGTCCTCGTACAAACCCTCTGCCAACACAAACCGCCCACTCTCCTCGCGGGTCCCTTCTGCCAAGCTCTAAAGCAGCAACTCATGGCCATCAACAACCCAATCGCCTGGGCGTCTTCCAATACCGGTCCTTTTGAAGTCATCCCGTTCCGGCTGGACCCGACGACTTGTGAACCTCATCTGGGCAATACGTTTACCGTTTCGACCTGGTGTGGGTGGGAGTGCTTTCTCAGCCATGCGCAGAATGTTGATCCTGATGCGTATGCGGGTCGGTTCGGGGAAGCGGGTGCGCAGTTTGGAGTGCCTAGGTCCGGGGTGGGATGGCGGAATGAGAGAGGCGTTACTTGAAATATCAATGGTGGGAAACTTGTATACATGTCTAGCAGTATTTTTCTGGGAGAACCCGGAAAGCAATTGCTCTCGAGGCAGCGAGAGGATGGAGGTCGACAAGAGACGGTGTCGGCACGATTTTGTGTCACTGTTAGAACAACGGCTACTCATGCCATAAAGAGCTGGAACATGTCTTGTAATTTGGCAATCAATGTGTCTTTGGAAGAGTATTAATATACTGACACAGAATTGTCCCAACCCTCTCATTCAGTTGTCTTGGCAAATCACAATGATAAGCTTTGTATTGGCACCTTTGCCAAATAGGTTGTTTTAGCTCGATATCACTGTGTTGTCTCTTTACTTTGTCAAAGATTGAAACTTGATATGCCATGTTACGTTATGTCTGGATACATGTTTCTGTGCCTTTGATTACTTGTGAACAACACAGCCTGTCTCTCCCCCGTGATTGTATATGGATCATGGAAGCTCCCGAGTCCTCACCTATCATTTGGTAATGATAGTTATAAATAGCCTCTATTTTAAAGTGGAATCGAGTTTTTGATGGTACAGAAGAGATTCAAGAATTTAACAAAATTTAAAAAACCATGGCCTAGAACGATGTGTACATAATAAAGTCAATCGTGATCACAGATGAAGTAAATCTATACCAAGTACTCCGTAGAAGTGACCAGTATACATGAATCGGGAATGACACTTATGAACCCCGGTATGCCGGCAAGTGGGGCGCGAGTCGCTCACTTTCCAGCCATTGGACGCCAGAGCCGCAGTGGGGTTTAGCGCGTTGGAAGGGCCGCTGAGCAGGGAGAAACCGCCGGGTTTGTAGCTGGGCAGGTACCACCGGTGCCTATTGGTGCATTCGAATAGCAGGCCCAGCTGCCTTCTGGGTACGCCCAATGTACCTTAACCAACCGACCGACTGCGGCTCTGGGGGGAGTTTGGGGGGTCGGTGCTTTGCGCTTGTCCTCTGCTGCGTGAAGCAGAAGCTGGAGTTGATAGAACGGCCACGAAGTTTTCCGGAAACAAGAACACGAAATCTTCACCCAACACAAACACCCATGCGGTGGTAACCTCAATTGTCCGCGTCGCACAACTTACAGTACACGCGCCCCAAAAAAACCATGGTCGGCAAAGTGAGCGAGCGTGTCCTCCTGCGGGAAGGTAAGTGGTCATTATCACCATCATCACCAGTCTTCTCCGTTGTTGTTGTTGTTGTTATTGTCCTGTTGTCGCATTCACGTCGAGATCATCGCATCGCGGCCCTTGATACTGTTGTCTGATGTGGTCGACGTGACGATGCTTACGCCGCCCTCTCATCACGCGCGCCCAATACCCGCCTTGTCCAGTATGGCTGCTTACCCTTGGTGTTGTTTAGGGCTCGAGAGGACCGACAATGGCATGAAACAGACCAATTGGCCCGACGTCTCGGCCATTAACCAGAAGAACTACTACACCGATTACATGAAGCGCGATGATCAGGTCCTGGCACTCCGACTCCAGGCCGAGGCTAATAGGGCTCTGCTGGTCCAAACTGCCAAGGACCGCGATAGAGCCCTCGCCCGAGGAGGCCACGGCGATGTTGCCCTGCCCCTCCCAGACGCCGAGCAGGAGGAGAGCGCTGCCGCCAACGACCCCAATGCACTGCTCGACCCGAGCAAGATCATCGTCATCCACCCTGGCAGTCAGAATCTAAGGATAGGCTACGCCAGCGATGCCCTGCCCAGGTCCATCCCAACCACCCTCGCCACCAAGTTTCCGCAGACCGAGTCCGAGATGCACGAGGCTCTGCCGCGGCGCAAGTTCGAGGGTAAGAACCAGGATGAGATACACGGCGAGGACTGGTCCAAGAAATACCAGAAATTGTCCGCCGACCTCAAGGTCGACATGCGTGCCAATAAACGCAAGGTCCTGCCCAACTCCAAGGAGCTGGTGACTAATTACAACCGTCGCACGGAGCCCGAAAAGATTCCCACACACAACGACCCTCTGCAGATTGAGTGGACAGACATTGACACTCTCGACGACCCAAACTCTGCAGCCTCTGCGTTTATTGGACAAGCAGCCTTGAGAGTTCCCGACGACTCGAATCCCAAGTTCAAGCTGTGGTGGCCTATCCAACACGGTTGGCTGAACGAGGACGAATACGCCACGGCAGAGCATCTCTACGATGACTTTGAGACCCTGCTGGATAAGGCAATTAGGGAAGAGCTTGGGCTCACCACAAATAGTGTCTGGAAAGAGTACAGCTGTGTTTTTGTCATTCCAGATCTCTACGACAAGCGATACGTCGAAGCAGTGCTCAAGTCGTGCATGACTTGGTTCGAGTTCAAGAGGATATGCTTCATCCAGGAGAGTATCGCGGGCTCTTTTGGCGCTGGCTACACTCAGGCTTGCGTTGTCGATGTTGGCGCGCAAAAGACATCGATTGCTTGCGTCGAAGATGGTCTCATGATTGAGGACTCGCGCATCAACATGAAGTATGGCGGTTATGATGTCACGGAAACCTTTATCAAGATGATGCTCTACGATCAATTTCCTTACCAGGATATTAACCTCAGGAGGCGTTACGACTTTTTGCTCGCCGAAGAGCTCAAGATGAAGTACTGCACCATGTCCCAAGCCGAGATCTCGGTGCAATTATACCAGTTTCATCTACGTGCCCCTAACCAGCCAACACACAAGTATCAGTTCAAAACCTATGACGAGGTTATTTTGGCCCCCATGGGATATTACGACCCGAGCATCTTTGACAATAGCACCAAGCTCCGCGGTCGTCGGAAACTCATTGACCGTTCATACAACCACTACGACGTCGATGTGCCCGACGACCCTCACTCGGCTGCACAGCTCGCCATCCTCGCATTGGTTCAGCCGTCAGTGGCCGCTAGTCATCAAGCTCCGAACGGCGTCAACCCTTCGGATCCCAACCTCGCTACGCCAAGCAAAGAGAAGACGTCTTTCAACTTCCTCACCCGTAATGAAGGAACGCCCATGGGTTCCACGGCTGCCAGCCCTGCACCTGAGGGCATCTCAACGCCGGCACCGCCGCCATTTGTATTTGGCGCCAATGGCACGGGGGCTGCGGCGGGATCACCAGCACCGCCCGGGCCCAACGGCCGGACGGGGACATCGCCTGCTCCTCCGGCAGGCATGTTTGTTGATGCCCAAACGCGGACAGCCAGGCAGATTGCCGCTGAACGGGACGCAGTCTTGCCTGTGGCGCCACTCGACATTGCAATTCTGACGTCGATCCAGAACGCTGCCAGGGGTGACGAGAAGAAGCTCCGAGACTATCTGGGATCAATCATGGTGATTGGCGGCGGTTCAAAGACGCCTCACTTTACACAAACACTCGAGGAGAAGCTACGCGGTAGAAGACCCGACTTGTTCGATCGCATCTTGGTGTCTAGAAGCGCGAGAGATATGGACGAACAAGTGGTTGTGTGGAAGGGCGCCAGTGTCTTTGCCAAGCTTGGCACCAATGACAGTTGGGTCACGCCCTATGAATACGAAAGACTGGGCAGCAGAATCCTGCATCACAAGGTGATCTGGGCTTATTAAAATCAATCTGTAGACAAAAGAAGAAATCCACTCTTGGTTGGAGAGACATGATGATCATCAAACCAGCCTGTGCTGGTGCCACGAGACTAATCTAATATTGATCAGGATCAAAGATTTACGATAGGCGTTATTGGGGAGGGCTGGAATGGTAACGAATTCTATGCGTACTGGGTATTTGACAGATATAATGCTCATAATAAAACTAGAGTAGATCTTTTGCTAGGGGATCAACCTAGAACAGGGAATGGTAAAGTCTGTTGAAAGAGGGAATCATGTATGACGAGTTCAATATTCCATGCTCACTCAGGTCAAAGCTGCCCCCATACATTCTTGCAGCCATAGGATGGCAAAAGTGTAAAAGTTGGACCTTGTTTATGTCATATCGCGTGTTAGTGTACCTGATTTGTCCACTTTTCAATGTATCCCCCCATACACACCAGAGGGCTGAGGGACAGTTTTGTAAAGGAAGGCAAGGTCTCTCTGCTGGTCGCCACCTCCTTCCAAGAACAAGAAAATTCCGAAGAAGGTACCGATCTTTACCTACTCGACAGAAACTACATATGCCCAGATATTCCCTTCCACCTCTAGACCTCGGGACACGCTTGACTGCTTCAGGGGTCATCCGCCCTCCTCCACAACATCATGCTTCATACCAACCTGTCCGAGTGAAGAACAAACACGAAATACCAGAGAATATCAGAACAGGCTAGGCTCATAACAAAAGAGCCTCATGCCGGAGCCTGGCCCCCCCTTTTCCACCTTGCCACCATGTACAATAGTTTTGAAATTTTACTCGAGGTACAGCAAGTGACCCATCGCCTGTCAAATCTTTATCCTTGCCACTGGCCTCACAAAATTCGAAAAGATCATTCCGCCTCTCAAAGAATGGATTGTGTCATTGTAAAGTCGCTTGATATGGAGAAGAGAGCCGCCAAAATTGCCCAACTTCCAGAACAAGTCGTCTGCAGGTGAGCTATTGGAATTAAGTTGCTTCTGGTGGCTCATTGGAAGTGGATTCAGGTCTCGTGAGTCGTCATATATCTGATTCCTCTAAATCAATGCCCATTCTAGTCATGACAGACGGCGCCTGCCGAGGGGAGGAGCGGAAGTATGGGATCGTTTCCGGTAACCGAGGACCACTACTCCTCCTCCTCCTGCTTTAACAACAACAAGAACAACAACAACCGACCTCTTTTCTTAGAGATATGCTGATAAGGTATCCGTACGAACACAGTATATTAGGAGGTGCAGCGAGGAAGCGGGAGGGGAGGAAAAGCAAAGAAATTATGCACGATTTGTGGTTTCTCCGAATGCTGTTCATGCAAAGCTCACCGTCTTAATTATGCAAGGCTTGTCATGAATAACACCCAAAGCTACAAACGATACAACATGTACAACTTGATCGTGTAGAAGGAAGAAAAATTGTTGATTCTATTGACCTGTAGGTGAGATTGCTATGACATAGCAGCCCACGCTTTCATCTCTTCTGATAGTATCAATAGTTTGTCCTGAGAGTTCTCGACACTTCATTTATTTGCAATTTCAACTTACAGCCGCAGATTTCGACCGGTGTTGACTGCGCCGAGCAAGAAAAAGCACAGGCACGACTTTCCAAAGCTGGTTACACACGTGTCGGTAACTACGTAGACGTGGAGACAAATCATATGTCGACCGCCCATGGTCGACGGCTGCCGTTGGTCAGCGAGCGCCACGATTTGTCTCAAACGGAGCAACGTGGATGGGTGGAGAGAGTCTTTGCTCATCATTGAGATGATCTACTTTGATGGGAGTGCGCTCGCCATGCAAGAGCAGCTTCCACGAAGAAGCAAATCAGGGCATTTTGACACGTTCAAGTTGTTCATGCCCACCGACCTAGGTTAGGCGCTGGTGCTGCAAAGACGAAGCTACCATGTCATCGGTCATTGGATGCGCATGACGCACGTCAAATGTACCGTTGATCTGCATGGGGGGTTATCACTGCCAACTTTTACAGAAGTATTTTTGTCTGTGCCATGATGGCATAAGGGGACCCTGGAAACCTTTTGACCCGTGGGTCTAGGATAACCCGCCGTCCATCCCAAAGGGGGGTCACGGGTATGAGTTCGGCCAACTCGACGAATGCCTGTTAAGAAGTTGCCGTCAACCAAGAGTTGAAGATCGGGCATGTCCAGTCTGACGGCGGCATTGTCTAAACGACTCCCGGTGATGCCGAGATTGTCACGGCAAAGGTCAACCAAGGTCAGCAGCCAACGCAGTCCAAGTGGGAGTCGAGGGATATGTACTGCCAACTAATTGCTACAGCATGCCAAGGCCGCGCTGAGCGAGAAAACATACACCTCGATACCCTGTACGTCAAACTGTCAAATTGGCAACCTTGCGGTGAATCGTCTGATGTTTGCCAAAAGACATTGCTTCTTCAACGTCAACTCCACATTTATACGACTGACAGCCTACCAGGGATATCAAGAGCACACCCCCCAAAAAAAGTTGTACCATGTCAAAGTCACCCCGCAGCTCATGCAAAAAGCTGCATGATGGAGAGAAGTGGACGCGCAGAAGAAGCAGACGCAAAAGCAGCTATACACTAAAGAGGCTGCCGAATGGACCCTCCAGCCGCATTTTCAATCTGAGATCCCATTGACAAATCTAGATTTTTGACATGATAGTTTTGCTTGGCCGTGATTAGTCACGTCGTCTTAATGACCCGCAACTGAATGCATGCGGTCGACAGGAATACTTTGCAAGATGAGGAGGGGTAAGTGTGCGAGGCCGGGGGAGGCACGCCATCCACCATGATAAAAACAATTATCCCGAGTACTGACATTTTGCCTAGGCTAGATATTTCAATCCAAGCTCCTCAAGACATGTATACTTTTTATCCCTGGAACCAAGAGAGAAAACCCAAGTCCCTGGAACGACCTTTGCACTGGGGAAAACTGCTCATATGCTTGGTCCAAGCTGCGGGCACCCGTCTGTGAGTCTACTGTGGTTTAAATGTGCAATGTAGGGTTGGTGGTGAGATGGTGGAGGACACCTTAGGGCTGGCTGTAGGTCTAAGTATGATGCATATCGTGCAGCCAATGAGAATGAACAAATCCAAATGCAGGCCTATCAGCCTTCCTCAACCAACCTCAACCGCATGACCGCATGTGCCCTCTTTGAGGGGGTGTAGACGCAAGCTTCAAGTGAGGGAGGATAGCTACATGAAGGAGCCTCAGTAGGGGGAAAGCCTTGGTATGGCCATCACATATCACAAGCAGACGATGAGATGACATGAACGGGGGCCATGTCAGCACACAGAAAAGTCCCACCCTGACTGTCCTGTTGACTGCATGTACCTGCGCTGCCGGCTGCTTACGGCTAGTATCACGGGAAGCTCCTCTCGACAGCGGGAAGAAGAGCCGCGGGAACACATGGTTGGCATGGGTCTCCTTGACTGTCAACGCCTTACCCTCTCCAAGAAACCCAATTCAAAGAAGGAGGAAAAAAAAAAAAAAAAAAAAAGGAAACTAACCTAGGCTGAC